GAAAAGTTGCAAATTTGGTTAGCGTCGGTGTTGAGGAATAGTGGGAAAATCAGGCTCAAAGTTAAACAAAATCAAAGCAAAAAAAACTAGCTAGAGCAGAAAAACAAAAAAGATCACTTCATAGGTAAAAGAAATACATAAAAAATGTGTAAGTAGTCGATGTTTTGGAAAAAGGAAAAATTTTTCAGGGCAGCAATTTAGTTTTAATTAAATTTAAGTTTTAAAATTGAATTTAAAACTTGATGTAAATAGTTTAAAGCAGTCGGGAAAAACTAAAACATGCTCCCTGATTCCCGAGGCGATTTCGCCTTTTCTACAGAACACCGACGTTCGGTCTTTCTGATATACGGGTTTTGAAGGAACTACAAGAATGCATTTTGAATCACTGTGATCCGCCTTATCATGCAGTAATTTGTATGCTATACTCATGCAATCCGATCAAGTCACAAAAACTAAATAACAAAATGCAATACGTGGATACAAGGTTATCTACAGGCCTACCGCTAAACTGACTATAGTGCGCGGTGCGGGAAGAATGTGGTGACGCGACGCGGGAGCTCACCGAGCTCAGCGCCGTGAGCGGCGTCGCCAACTTAGCGACTTTGTCGCTAGATTAATGTCGCTGTAAAATAAGTTCACAGTCCTCTGACGTATTTACTACTGAACGGTATAGAAAAATTTATTGTCTCTTATAACAATTTAACGAGACTGATTTTTTGACAATAATTTGACATAATTCGCTATCGGTCTCTTCTATTTTCATTATCAATTAAAAAAACAACTTGAATTCGTATTTTTAACCGACTTCAAAAAGGAGGAGGTTCTCAATTCGACTGTATGTTCATTTTTTTTGTATGTTTGTTACGCGATAACTCCGGTATTTGTGAACCGATTTTCATGATTCTTTTTTTGTTGGAAAGGGGGTACTTCCATAGTGGTCCCATTTCGTTTTAAAGAAAATCATCCACCTCGAAGGGTGGCTGTTCATGCATGAAGATTCATTTTTATACATAGCGCCTAACTTTAATTTAGGAGCAAAAGTTTAAAGGTTGATTTTGGTATTTCTCCAATTCAAGGCGTTTTTCTCTCAATATACTTCGAGTAGCGAGAACCGATTTTTATTATCTCCAGTGTCAAGTCCTGTATAGTGGCGAACTAGGGGATATTTCAATAAAACTTAGCAAATAGACGTAATTTCACGTACTTTTGAGGTCGGTTTTTTTAGTGCTCTGTGCTGAGATTATTTAATGCAGCCGACCGAAACCGATTTTCCGTCAAAAATATATATTATTACGAAATGCGTCAAAATACCTATTGTGGGTCTCACTTCACCTTAAGCGACATTTTGACAGCAAAAGCGACATTTTATTTCTTTCTAGCGACAAAAAATTTTTGCGCCTAGTTAATTACGTTTCATATTTTTGCATTTAATATAATTTTATGATTAAAATTATCTATTATACCACTCTTAGCCGATTTAGTAAATTTCTTATTTCAGATGTATTGGTCTTTTGTTTGTAATGTGACGATAAAGTAAGGACTTTATGCCCAATGAAATGAACCTTATATTGAGTATCGAGTTTTCACATGGAGTGGATGTAGTTTTAGCAACAACTGTTTTCGTAACACTTCGAACTTCTAAACCTTCTGTCTAGGAATATTTGCTTTAGTCTAGTTGGTAAGTCAGGCGTCGGCTTTGCCGGCGTAAACGCGTTTTTTGTTTGCGGTCGGTTTGAGTAAAACGGGATTGACAATACAAGATGAGTCCTCCAATTAATAGCAAACGAAATAAGTCAGCTTAATTCAGCTTAATTTTTAGATTTCTGTAAGGGCCTAAAAATTAAGCTGAATGTAGTTTTTTTTGTTAATTTTGCTAGTATCTTCGATATATTTTGCATTAGTCAAAAACACGAAGTAGAGGTAAAATTATTTATATAAAAGTATTGAATTTATTGACGACTTTTCTCAATTAAAGATTAACAGTGTAAGCCACTTACTTTTGAAACCAATCAGGTTATTCTGAGGAATAAAAAAGTCAGTAATATCGGTTTAGTCTTGTTGGCGACTATATCCCTGTTACTGTGTACTGTTACGATCCGGATTGAAATCCAATTTTGTTGCTATGGGAACATGTTAAAGGTGAACTAACTCGAAAATATATCAACCCAAATTTGACTGATAAACGATCTCCCAAACAGTTATTCTCTTACTATTCGGTAGAGACATAGCAAAAATGTGTCGAACAAAGATAATGGTCACGTGTGAAGTATCATTCGCATCATGCGTCTTTTAATTTCGTCGAGTATCACTTATTTGACAATAATTGTTTCGGATAGATATCGGACGGGAGTGCGGGAGTAGACCTTTTGATGATATCAGCTATTCCAATTATTCAAAAACGAGCAACAATTGATTTGTTTTAAAATGGTTTCTCTACCAAATCCAGTTATTAATGAATAGCTCCTTTATTTGTCATATTATTATCACATAACATCCATTGCCTAATTTGGTAGGCACTTGTTATATTTGCTTGTTATTGAATGTCGTCAGAAAAACTATCTCGTGTGCAGCATGACATGACTGTTACGTGAGCTGTTACCCATCCCGCACCGCGCGCATCTAGCGCTACCTCAGAAACCGACTCAGTTAAGAGTCGATACTATCACAGCTCGAATTCAAATTTTGCCCGTACTAATAAGGTTCATTTTGCTTAGGTCGAACGGCATGGACAATGGCTTTATTTCAGAATTTATTTCTTTATAGACGTAATCAAAGCCATTTGAAAAACGTATATCATATACTTTACGTGTTCTATTTAGTTTAGTTGATATTAATTCTATTGACATCATTGCCTATATGCAAAGTACCTGTTAAATACAGCGGGTTTCTTGTAAAATTTCGAGGTAAGTTTGTATTTCTTTCTATCGTGAAAATTTTTTGGACTCGTGTATTCATACCGTATGGTAATCAGTGTATATCCTAAATTTTAGTGTATATTTTTTCCAAAGGTACTTTCATTGTTATGCGGAATCAACCAAAAGTAGGTTTTATCGACCCTTAAGCAATGTCAATAAAAAACAGTAAAACAAATCTTCTTCCTGTTCTTATCCCACGCTAGGTGGGGTCGGCACAACATGTATTTTTCATCCACTCTCCCCCATCAGCCGTCATTTTTATACTCACACCTTTCTTATCCATGTCATCTTTCACACAATCCATCCATCTTTTCTTTGGCCTTCCTTTCCCCTTACATCTATACATTCATACCTAGCACTCTTCTCGTTACATGACATTCTTCCCTCCGCATGAGATGTCCATACCACGCTAACCTATTACTCCTCATCTTTTCCGTCACTGGCGCCACTTTCAAACTTCCCCTGATGTACTCATTCCTTATCTTATCCTTTCTCGTCACTCCGCACATCCATGTCAACATTCGCATTTCCGATACATGCACAGTTCGTTCATCCTCCCTTTTCATCGCCCAACATTCTGATCCATACAACATCTCAGGTCTAATCACGGTCTTGTAAATTTTCCCCTTTAGCTTAAGGGGCATTCGCCGATCGCAAATAGTGCCTGTGACCTGTCGCCATTTTATCCAAATTATAATTAAAAATGTAAACCTAGTTTGTCATATAATTCTTTCTAGTTATTCTGTATTTCGTACCTATTCAAAAATTTACATTAGAGGTTTACGATTTTAGCCCACGTTTTTTAAATGTATTCCTTTAAAGAACTATATTGAACCACTTTTCCACAGGCATGTTTTATTTAACTCTATATTATCCCTAACAATAATAAATATCCTATTTCTGTGTTCCAACCCTCGTTAGTGTAATAATTATTACATTTGTAACATGTTGTGCTTATTGTTGGTGATTTGTGGTGTTATATGTGGGATTAATTGAGATCTGATGAAGTTATCAACTTAAGGGTTCTGTTATGTTAACTAATGAATGTTGTGGGTAAAAATTTAGCCTTGAACCCGTGTAAGCTGATCACTCTATCAAACTTGGTCATCTTTTAAATTACACAATCCTCGATTGTTTGATGGAACTATGTAAGCTTAAAAGGGAAAGGCTTAACTTCTTAAAAGGCAAGAATTAATCGAGTTATCGCATTTATACAACACTTTTGAAAGACGACCCTAGGAGTGTTTTGTCTAATATTTATTAAATTCATGTTTTTCAGTTTGCACGCAATTTATATTGTGTGCTTTTTTCATGTTGTGATATATCTCTGTGTTCCTGGTGCTTGCATGTTGTATGTCGTTATTTTTTGTTAAAATAAAAATTAAATTAAAACGAATTTCTAAAGTTAAGTATACAATATAACCATTACGACTACAACTTCCTCGAGATGTGATTAAAATCACATCTCTGTTAACCTTAAATTGCCGTATATAAATTTCAAACGGGAAGAAAAAGTTTTAAATTAATAAAAAAAAAGTTTAAAAAGCTTTGGATAGAATTAACAATTTTTGTAATCCTTTCCGCTGGTACAGTTATGCTAAACAAAACTCAAGTTAATTACTTTAACAGTTTCAAATCTACCTTTAACTTTTTCTAAGTCAATTAAACTGTATAGCTTTAACTGACGAACTTCGTTCTAGTTTAATAAATTGAATTAAACTTTTACATTAGAAACTGCTTGAGTTTAAAAGTTTTAGCTTGTGACTTCCTTTTGTGTATTTTAGATAGATGTTCCATCAATAAGTCGTTAAACGATGGTATTAAGTTTCAGTTTTCAATAACTGTTCCCCTACTCTACAAAAACCGCTCATCCTTGTCTTTAGTACCAGAGATGTATTATTATCTCTAATATATACAATACATACGTATTGTTTTCAAACTTTTCTGTAAAATGTACATCCAATTTTTAAATTCAATTTTTTCTTAAAAATAAATATGACTGGCTTAGTTTCTTATCAAATTCTTAGCGAACTTTCTGGAATCCTCCATCGAATTCGAAATGTTCTAATAGAATGTTCTTCACAGGTGCTATACGACGGTAAGCTGTCGTCAGCAATAGTGTTTATGTACAATCCGGTGGCGACTGATGGTCAGCTCTGCCTTCAGTCTGCGCCTAAGGGAAACGTGTCCTACTTCGTTCACACGCCACACGCGTTGATGCTGCAGGTAAGTTATGGACGCTTGGTACATTTTATTTTTCCGATAATCTTAAGAAATATGACAAAGTCAAGTTTTTTAACAAAAGGACTTTCCGCTTACGAACTCTGTATGAATAAAGATCAAGTTGCTTGATTTATAACGCTGTATGTAACATTCGGAACGGAAAGTTTTAATAAAAATACATTTATTACATAAAGTTGAATGTTTTTGTTCTTAATGATATAAATTTGGTTTCGCAGGAGGTTAAGGCAGTGGTGACCCACTCAATCCACAGCGCACTGAACTCCATCGGCGGAGTGCAAGTTCTGTTCCCGCTCTTCGCCCAGCTGGATCTGCCGCACGACGCGCCCGCTACTGATCCCAAACGAGATCCTATGCTGTGGTATGTAGTCCTAATACTTTCAAACCGAAAGCCTTACTTTGTAAGGCGCTTCAGATAAAAAATACAACTGAATTACGTTCCGAAAATTGTGACTTTACCAAGAGCATCGAAAATACAGTTCACTAATGAAGGAAATATGATGAAAGAACTATCTATGGCTAAATATATTCAGGCAACGTGTCTTACATGAAATACCTATATCAAGTAACCACCAGTTTTACTAACTCTAAACTCGCGTGTGTCCGACACGCTCTTCATGATCTTTACTATTCTCTGATATTTGAGTAACATTTAAATATCTCGGTTTCAACAAAACGGTTTAATATCGTACAAAGAATTACCATGTTTTCTCGTAACTGTTCTGAACAAAAGTGAAATTTAAAGGCACACGAATACATTATAAATTTTCACTCCGAGCCCCGGGAACGTTATTATGTTCTCTGTGTTTCTATGTAAAATAAACCCTTTTGAACTGTTATTTTTACGTGCGAGCACGTAAAACGTTTATTGCTTGAAAATAAAATATGAAACTTTGTTTGGCAGGTGATATACATTTTACATACACATTTCTCTTTAAGCAAATTTTCATTAAAATATCTAGTGAAAGCAATTTAATTTTATGTATAAAAAGAAGTTTAATTTAAATAAAACAGGCTGTTGGTACCAGTAAGGGTTAGGTAAATTATGGCGAAAAAAGTTCAAAATAAAAAACGCTCAAAAACTTGTCGTGTCATACGTAGCCGAACAGAAGGGGCTCAGATGGTAAAAGGGCCAGTGGATTTTCTTTCTTTTTTTTTCTTTTTTTTATTGTGACTCGGCAAAATGACTGCAGGATTACTATAGTATCTATCTGAAAAATAGGGAGGGTACTGTCGTGCACCCGGGGCGGCTCACTGGAGGCAGTAGCCTCTTGAGAACTGGATGAAGTCAGTGGCAGCGGCTTGTGACAACCCTTTACACTGGCTATTCCGGGGTCAGGACCTGAACTTAAAAGGTCCCTGTGCTTGTAGAGGTTATAGTACCCTTCCCGTTATGAGGAGTTTACACATAAAAACGAAAATAATTTAGAAAAATATTAGTGGTAAAACCTTTGGGGCAGCGAATTGGCGATTAAAGAATTCTAGTAGGTACATACGACGAATGAGTATCACATGAAAATAATTAGATTAGTACAAGCGGTTTAGGAGGTCGGAGAAAACGTCCCAGTCTTTAAAAAAAAAAATACTTTACATAGATTCATGGGTTCAACAATCACATTCTGTATCAAATTTTTAGTTTTTCGCGATTATTATACATAGGAAATGAAACAACGAATAAAGGTCCCGTGGTCACGGGTGGTCATGGGCCCTGTAAACGGCCTCAAAGTTGGTTTGTTTGAGAAAATAAATATACGTGGTTTTATTGATGTGTCGTGGATTTATGTTATCGTAAATCACATCCTGTTTCAATTATGTATGCAAGAGCGCTGTGGTAGCTCACCAGGAGAGTAATTACATCTTAATTGGGATTTCGACTGTTCATTTACCTGTGACTTTTAAATTTCTAGGTTATATGGATGAAGGAAAACATCGTGTCGAACCCTGCATGTTGAAGACGGTTCACAGCAAGGTTGTTGCTGATGCCGGTTTTGTACACATCAGCGGATGCTGATGCTGACGCGGATTCTGATTTTACATATTTAAAATGTACATCGATCCTTAATGAATCTATCTACATGAAAAAGATTTCTATTTTCCTTGGCAGTATAATAAAATATTATTTCAATGATTTTGTGACATTTATTACAAAATAATCAATCTGCATGAAAACAATCAATCTGCCTAGCTTAATCGTTGTGGAATTTTATCAAAGTTATATTTTAAAAATAACAACTGAGCTGCTTTTTCGTCTTGCAGTCTGTTTCTGAACGGTTTTTAAATTATTCCAGCGTGCCTATCATCATATTATACTATACTACTCGAACATCGGTAATGCATATCAGCATCGATGAATGCAGATGCTGATGCGGAAGCGGATATTCGCAACAACCCTGGTTCACAATCCCGTGTCAAATTCCCAACCCGCACTGGGCCAGTGTGGCGTATAAATTCAAGTTATTTTAATCTCTGATTTTTTGAGACTAAATTTGAACTCGCAGCTCCATTTAGCACCATCGTCCATAACACCCCTGGCTGTAACAACCCCAATTTGCCATTTCTTATAGATTTATCGTTCCTCGATGTCATTTGCGTGTGTCGCTTATTAAATTATCGGAATTTATGTCGAGCAGTGATTTACAAACAATTCTCACGTTTAATTTAACCTATATAACGTATGCCCAATTTACCGGGCTTTATAATAGAATAAATAAGAAGTTATTCAATTTCGTATAGTAATCATTATGTAACTTAACGTTAAATCAAAACTTTTTCGGTATTTATTCTAATTTCTTAATTTAAAACTCCTTTACACTTTTAAAATTAGCGCGAAAGAAAAATTTGAAATGTTAAGTTAAAAGGTTGAAGTCGATATATTTTTTGAAGATGGCAAAAACGGAATTTCAATTTTTTTTTTGTCATGTGGCATCAGAATATCAAAACTTGTTGAACTATTGCCACATCCTCAGGTATCACCAGATTTGGCCTCATTTGTCTTTATATCTGATTTTTACCAATTTGTATCAAATGAGGAAGTGATATCTGAAACTGAGGCTTATATTTTGATGGATTGAAGAATTCCGATATCGCTGGAAAATTAAACCATAATTTGAAAAAATATGTACATTTTTTTTCAAATCTCTGACTCGTAGACATGTTTAACTTACCTATATGTCTGTTGCAATTTGTATACATGTTTCATCTTGTTCATGGGGTTTTTTTATGTGTCAGGCAACCAATTACTTGATCTCGAACTAGTGAATGTCATAGTATGAGTACTAAGTTAAAGACATGAGCTCCAATACACTACCCAGAATACTGAAGAAACTATTTAAAAAGTTCGTTTGCCGAATTGGTCAATTCGATCCTATGCCTACGCAGGACTTGAGGGTACCACCGACTTACCTATGTATACCTGCTTATGCTTATGCTTGTGAAATTACAAGCAAATGGGACGTGTAAACTATGTGTCAGAGTGACGGGCGCAGTGGCAGTGCCCCTCAGGTCTTTGTGATTTTGTGGAGGTACTAGCCTCTTGAGAACTGGATGGAGTCAGTGACAGCGGCTTGTGACAACCCTTTACACTGGCTATTCCGGGGTCAGGACCTGAACTTAGAAGGTCCCTGTGCTTGTACTGGTTTTAGTACCCTTCCCGCATAACCGAGAGGTTGATAGAAAGGGTCACTATAATCAAAACATATGTCAAAGATACGGGAGCTGTCCATCGTGCTTGTATACCGGCAAAAGTGCTTTAAAATGTCTGTAAAATACCATCAAACAGTGACCGTTGTATAATTAAGTTATGAACTCAAATAATGTCCGTTCACCCTCACAATAAATAAAATTTACTGTTTGTTTGATGAACCGAGTTTGATGTTGAAATTGAAGCTGTAGCTTGTCACCAATTACCTGATCTCAAAATTGGAAATTCCCTTTATCACCAGTCGAGGTCCAAGAACAAGTCAAACTTGTCACTTAAGTTTAAAATTCAACTCTACACCGCTTGCAATGAGACCATTTCAAAGACCAAATTGTCAAACTTAATGTGCTATTGCAGTGCAGAAACTCCAAACAAGAACCAATTTAGTAAAGTTTGTTTCCCATATTGGTCCTGTCAGTAATTGAACCCATCGAACATGCCACTACGATTTTTGAAATGTTAATACATATATTTTATACAAAGCAGCAAAAATATATTTTCTCTTGAAGAAGAAAATCCTGGCATATAGATAGCTTTGAGTTTAAGAAATCCGTACTTATCGAAGTAAACTTCGCAATATTGTATTTAATCCGCTTGGCTGTCAACCGGAGCGGGACCCGCGTCAACCGGGTGAATCCGGATTGATCCGGTTCCGGTCTCTACCTGATATCGCACATCAAAGGTGATGGATTTAATCCTATTAGGATCGAAAATTTTTTTTTTACTTTAGTTACGGCACTGGCTTTTCAAAGATTAAAGAAAAGAAGCGGAAAACAAAATTTTGTTTAATCGTTTAACAACGTATCTACCCACTCTCTGAGTTGTAATTCATAAATAATATCTACTAGAAAAGCTGACGACAAGTCGACGACATCGTGAAAATCACGGACAATAGATGCGAAACCAGCATGAGATTGTGGTGTAATGCGCAAACTATGGGTAGCCTACTATACCCAGCAGTGGGTTTAGTCGGATTGTGGGTGATGATGATATTGAAGCTATCATAACTAAAAATCATATAAAAATAATTTCCTTAACTTCAATAACAATTATGAAACAAAATAGATAAAATAGAATAGAAATCATTTATTCCGGAAAAAATCACAACACTGCACCCAGACACCAGAGACTATCTAATAGCCGGTGGGGTAAATAAAACATACTTTATTCTGAGTCAAAAGATTTTAAGAGAAGTCCAAAGGTCTTGTAAGAATTTTGAAGTACAGTAATCGTCCTTTTCACCTCACTAGCTCGGAAAGGCTTTCTTTCTCATTAGAAATCTGCGCGCAAAAGCGTTTTTTGCACGATAGCGTGGAAAAGGGTTTTGAAACTCGAACTTGACGATGGATTGTGGTCTTAGGCTCAACTCCCACTGACGCAGAGTCGAAGCGTCGCGTCGCGTCCTGTTTTTCAACTACAATGCTTGGCGACGCGCGACGACGCTCACACTAGCTCGCACTCGTATTCGTAACAGCGCCAAAGTTCTAGAACACGGCTCTTGCCATCTCAAAGAGTATTGGGATACTTGGAGTCGACATCGCGAACGAAGTTCAGTTCCGGAGTCATTTGGAGAGCAAAGCCAAACTGGCTTCAAAAAAGCTCGGAGTGCTCAATAGAGCGAAGCAGTACTTCTCTCCAGGTCACTTGACTCCGTCCAACGCAGGGCTGTTCGTATTATCGATGATCCCAAACTCAGAGACGGTATGGAGCCCCTGAGCCTATGGAAAAACGTTGGCTCTCTGTGTGTGTTCTACCGTCTTTATAATTGGGAGTCCTCTGAGGAACTTTTCGAACTGATGCCACCGCCTCGTTTCTACCATCGCTCCTCCCGCTCCACATCTTAGTAAGACCACGCGGGCATCTCGTTCGTTCGTTCCGCGAACCTGCAAGATGTGGAATGATCTTCCTCCTGAAGTATTTCCTTTGCGCCATGACATGGGGTTCTTCAAAAAGCTTGTTCACAGGGCTCTCAAAGGCTGACAACGCATAGGCAGCTCATCTGATGTTGCAAATGTCCATGGGCGACGATGACCACCTCCTATCAAGTGGCTCGTCTGCTCGTTTGCCTCTTCATTACATAAAAAAAAGAACTAGTGCGCCCGGATTACAATCCTAGTGCGCTCATGTTTCCATATAAGAACTCGCGGCAAACAACAACTTTGCAGCCTTGCATAACATATAACTATTGTGTATCAGTTTTACATATTATAACAATTTTTAACGCTGAATTCAATATTTGTGATGTATTTGCTGAAAACGGGCAAACTGTGTTGACTTGTCTCTTCTTCAAAAATATAGGGTAATAAGGACAGTTATAATTATTTCCTGTAAAGGTATACACGTAATTATTTTCAAGACTCACAACTGTTAAATTTGTTTTTTCCGCATCTTGAATTTGGAGCATCGATAGTGGCGACATCACCTTAAAATTGCTTAAATTAAAATTGTTTATCTGTATTATCGACTGAGAGACTAAATAGTGCTAAAGTCTTCAGATTATGAGTTAAAACTTCTAGTTCATCTAACCCCACCTGACCCTATATTACTACAATTCATAATACTTTGCGACTACAACACAACACTTAAACCAAGTGGAAAGCATAACATGCCTCATTATAATACAAGATAAACATTTCACGAATAAATAATGAGCATAACAGGCAGCTTGTGCTGTGTACTGTTGCAATATCCGTCATTCACTCAGCTTATTGTCGTCTCACTGAAAGTATAAGTAACTATAAATACATTTACAAAAATCAAGTTTATGTAAAGCAGAATATGTTTATTGCTCCATTTGCCTGGTATTAATTGACGTGTTTTCTGGGTGGTGCCACAGATTTAATTTCACTAAAAACCGGACACATTTATCATTGTCCTTTTCCCAACCAAGTAAAATTCATCCTGCGCGTTCAAACCGCTTAAGCGTCATCAATCTTGCACAAAACATTTAGTTTACTAAGTCAATACAAAGCGTGTGTGTATTTTATTTGGTTGCTTCGAAAGAATCTCTAAAGCGGTGGTAGTCCAGTGAGAGAACTGTTGCTTCTCGGTTAAGAGGTCTACGTTTCGTACTTCTGCGGCGGTGTCTACCCTGTGACTTAAATGGACGAGGGAAACTTGTAAAATCTACAATCGGAGGTTTACAGTCGTTGGAAAACGTGTCATTTTATTAACTCGCATTGGTTGAGCATTGTGGACTGTAGCTTGTATTCCGAGAGTTGGACAACTTTCGCTCGTTCTATATTCATGGCCTACTAACTAAGGCCCACAAATGTACCGCATCGAGTAAAAGCCGCCATGTATTAAGAATTCATTGAATACACAAATATGCAAACGAGTGAATTGTTTCCTCGAAATTCATACAAAATGAATATGATTGATTTTGACTTGACTGTATGGAAGGAAACTTCCCTGTTTATTCATCTACTCACAACTGTGGTGTATTTGCAGTAATGGCACAATTAGGCATTTTTCGCGTTTTCAACTGATTTTTAACTTCGCTAACGGCCGGGCGTGTTCTGAAGCGTAGCGGCGGCAACTAAGCGTTTTTATATTTCATTGGGCACGTGAAGTAGGGTGGTCGTCTATATAGACATCTGTGAGTTGGACTAAAGTTTCTTTCAATCCTTTTTATTTTTGTAAACCTTCGGAGACGATGAAAGTAACACTCCGCCGTACTTTTAAAATAACTTTGCCAATAAATTTTATACTCCGATGTGCGGAAGATGGATGTAGCAACCGACGCGTGAGACGTGACTCTGGTTTTATCCAGCTTTCACTTGATCGCGTCAAAATGCCGGATTAAATCGCAAACGGCTCGTGACGCGGGTAACGCGCTACCCTCATTGATTTGCTACTTATAACGTGTTGTTCTGTTCACGTACTTTGGGACATTTCAAAAGTGCGCAGTACAATAAAACTCGTGGTTTATTATACATTTCAATGGTTTTCCTAGAGTAGCGGCCCATCTGAACGGCGTCTAATTCGCCAGAAAGATGGTTTAAATACCGTCGACCGCGAAATTCACATATCGCACTGTTAATACAATAGTGTACTATCTCAAAAAAGTGAATTTTTTCAGAATCGATGAAAAACGGATTACTCTCTTCCCGTAAAAGATCATTAAAATTTAATTATAGGTTAACGTTTTTAGCAAACGTCTAAACAATTTCCTACTTGTCCAATATATTTAAAAATAAAAGAGTGAGGCCTGTTTTGGCCAGAACGAGCTCACATAAAGTGTGTCTCATTTAGAGTTAAGACGATATCTTTTAATTGTTTCTTACAATGTTTTATTTGTGAATCTTATTTTTGTCTTAGCTTGTTATAAATTTTGGTAGCTTAATTTACAAATAAGTAACATCACGTTTCCTCAAATTCCCAAAATCCGTGCCCTCAACTTGCTTGTTGCTAATTAAATGTCGTTTCAATTTAACTTTGATGAAACATTCCTAAATTAAAATGTTTTACTGCGGAATTAATCACTTAAGTATCTATTGAAGGTTACCAAATATTGGGGGGAACGAACGGTTATGGGGAATTATGGGAGTGGTTTTAAAACTAGAGTGAAAGAACAAGTAGATCGAAAGAAAGAATGATTTGATAACAAGCTATCTGACTACAGGCTATCTGGCTACTTCCTGGTGTACAATAGTACAGTGGTTTTGTAAGTCCATAAGAGGAGTTAGACGAAAGTTGAATAACTCGCAGTTCTGAAGAGTGAATATTCAATATAGAGAAATATATATGTATATGGTATATGGACGGAATAGTTTGTAAGCTTATTTTGAAAAATATTACGACAGCAATGACAAGATCATGGGCGGCGAGAGTGGTGTAAATAAGAAAGAAAGTGAGATAATCGCCATCATCAACCCATTCATGTGTCCCACTGCTGGGCACGGTTCTCCTCTCAGGCGAGGGTTTAGGCCATAGCTAGTCCAATGCGGGTTGGGGACTTTACACGTTTTCCGATGTTTCTGTTTGTTTTCTTTCGCCGAAAGCTCATGGTAAATTTCAAATTCAATTTCGCACATAAATTCCGAGAAACTTAAACTGCATGAAAACAGGAGAGACGTCAAGTGTGCTAGAGTAACTGTACAGATGCTGAAGTGGAGGTAGCTTCGTGGTCAGTAAGCTGCACCGTCTTTTTAATGTGCGCAGGAAGAAGGGCTCAGTAAGAAACGGTTGCAGCAAAATCATTATTATTCCTTTATATAAAGGAAAAGGGTCTAAGAATTTCCACGCCACGCTTAGAGTCGTTTAATAATAGAGTCAGTCGTTGACAAGCTATATGCAAAGGTTTTAGTTGTGATAGCTGGGAATGAATCTGATGAGAAAGTTTGGGACAAACAAGCGGGATTTCGGAAAGGCAAAATACCCAATTAAAATGGCGAAAATTGTAGTAAGATACTGTTGTCGTGTGAAAGGTGATGTAGTGACTAGGATGGAAAAGGGAATGTGGAGAGCATGAATGTTAGCAGATTGATGACACAATTTTACAGAACGAATCTAGATGGTAACTGGATGATATTGGTACAACATACATGCCTCGAAAATATTATTAGGGATGTCCTTAAAGACCACGTTCAAAGTACAAAGAATATATAAAAAGATTGATAGACTGATTGTTTAAAGAAATGCACGTTTAAAGAGATTCACGGTCTTTGCCTATTCCATTGGGAGACAGGCATAATGTTATGTAAATATGTAGAACAGTACAGGTATATTCATAAAATCTGAAGACATAACCGCGATGTTGATTTGTCCACAGCTCAAAACTGCTCGGCTTCATTTGTTCGCTGGTAGAATCCTGCAGTACAGTTCAACAGCACATGCTGCAATGTCGCGGGTTCCTGGTTATCTCACACATGTTGCAAAGGTGTAACAGAGATCACCTAACGCCGGACACTCTGGCCTCGTTCCTACACTTGACCAAACATCTGGTGACCTGCTGTTCACCTAATTCCGATTTGCTGTTAAAACAGGTATTTATTAATTTAGAACATCGTAATAGATTTAGTTTTTAAATACAATAGAATAGAAGTAGTGAAATCACGTAGCAAATTAAAAGTCACCATCATCATTGTAAATTAAAAAAAATACAAATCAATGAATAACAGACTTTTACGAAATTCAACATTCTTAAAAGTCAAAATACCAAACTCTCAGGATGTATTCAGAAGAAAGGGTTACCTATCAGTAGTAAAAATCACATTTTCCAGAAATATCGTTTGCTCGAATTTTCATAACCTCGAAAGTATTTTGAGAGGAAAATGTTTTTTCTTTTAAATGTAACTTAATCTTTTTTTTAATACCCGAGGGAATCTGCTTATAGATACCCCGGCCCTGCGGGGGCAGAGCCGGGGTTATGTGGGACTGGGCTGAGCCCTGAAAGGGAGCAACCCGACCGCACTAAACCCCCGGGGTGTTCCTCCTCTCCGCTGCGGGTAGAGGCACGGGTACGCTATCGCTCATCCGCGCCTCCACCAGCGGCTGGCCGTGCCCAGCGCAGCCTCTCCCCGAGAAGGGAGACGCAACGGTCCCCCGACTCCAAATATAAGGCTCGCCGAACACCAGACGAGCCTTCCATCTCGGGCCCCTCCATGCTGGACAGCGAACTCCCCCGAGTCCGCTACCCAGGGGCCATAGGGCCAGGACAACATCCCCTCAACTGTGAAGTTCAGAGGATGCTCTCCCACTCCCCGCGGCGGATCTGTTGATAGGCTCCACCGCAACACCCTACGCGCATCCACAGTGGACTCTCTGTAGAGAGTCCTTTGGTGCGCTCACCGCACGGGCCTATCGCCCAAATTCGACCATGAAGGACTGGACAAGCGGCAACGACACACGAACCTAGTCGTGTCTTTGCAATAAACATCCAACATACCCTGAAAGAACAACGGTTTCTAATTATAGTTTTCGGTGTAATAAAAATTCGAACAAACGTTATTTCGGAAAAAAAGTTTCGAGTTTGTGATAGGTTTAATAGGTTTTACCACACGCAAAATAGGCGCATTGTCGTCGAGTTACGGATACCAGCCCGTTGCACCAACTACCAAGTTGTGATAGGTTACCGAAAAAAGTCACCTTAGACCTGCGCGTACTCATTTTAGCATATTTTCATCAATAAGTGTTTCTGGAGTATCTACACTAGAATATCAACGCTATGGTGCGTCAGTATCTTCAGCACGAAACGTGCCTAATTATAAATATACCACATATTAGTTTTCAAATATTCTTAACAGGTATTCATCAGTTCTTTATACGTAATTATTGTCATTTAACCTTAAAGAAAGTCGTGACTTGTGAAGGTCGTAATTTGAAGGCGCTGCTTCGCTGTTTTAGTGTCTCATAAATATGAATTATGACTTCATAAAGAGTCTTTTAATATTCTACACTTGTTGAAGCTTGTAAGAATGAAATACAAAAAGGAATACGTTTATTAATATTAAATTATTAAAAAATGGTATTGTCTCGCTTAAGAACGTACAGTACTTTTTTTTTTAGAAAATACGAAACAATAAATTCCTTCGTCAAAAGAATATTAAAATTTATTTTTTTCAAATTACTCTTCACCAGTCACGATTATGTATATTAAATTGAAATTAACAATAAAATGTTTATGACAAAATATTTACCCGCTGAGTTCGCCCGATCGTTCCGTTGAATAATTAATGTAATCGACTTTCAATTACATTGATTAATTGTGTAATTCAATTGATCGATTCGCAATTCAATTTAATTGTTGCGATATATAATGGATCTCACGGATCCATACGGATCAGTCTATTTGGACAATTAATTTTGATCCATTATTTGTAATTAAAAACAAATGATGTTTATTAAAATGTTTCATGAGAGATTTAAACAAAATACCCGTACTATTTAAGCAAGGTATCTGTACAAAAGTAATTTAATACCTATTTAGTATAAGACTCGGAGGAAGGAACCTGTCACGTCCTTTAAAAAAAATTACGCTTCATCGTAATAAGTTAAAGCACATTGCAGTGGCTATTCTAAGCGTAAAACGCTGTATTCTCTGTTTACGAGTGACCTAAGCAGCGCAGACGTTATTTAATCCAGAATTATTCTACAACAAACAACAAAAAAGAGACGTGACAGATTTCTTAATTTCAGCGGATCTTTATTTCCTACAGCTTAAAAGCCTGACCTAACCCTTAGACTACTATAGATAAATTTAAAGAAATACATCGCTGGTGGTATCACGAGCTTGTTATTGCGCTCGATCGCGAATTAGAATGCACAGTGAGCTCTGGGCGAGGGCTGTAGATATTTTTTCGTTTCATTCTTTACATCGCCTATTTGTCGCTACACTTGCCCCGTCGTCTGAATAAGTTCCCTGGGGCTATATGAGTACTTCGTAACACATTCGGGGTATGGGTTTCGTTATCGCTAGTGATCCGGGGCTACAACGAAAGCCACGCCTTCATTCTCGTTGTAATGAAAATGTTTACTTTAATCGATATTTTTGTATCACACGGTCAGGTTGTTAAGCATACTGTAAACTCACAGTGTTTTCCCCACCAAGTGTTATTTTAATTTTAACTCGGGCTCCGGCTGCCCCGGGCTACATGTAAATTTTGTGTTCGTGCTTCTCGATTGGAGTTATTTTGAAACAAAAAGTTTGATGAACAGTTTTTTGGCATATCAAAAAGTATATGCATAGCTACCAACTTATATGTGATACGGGTGGTTTCGCTATTTTTTTTTTAGATTTTGTCCTGTGTTGCCGGTACATGCCAGTTTATTTGGTGTTCTTTTTTTCCGTATTGCAGATTCGTTGGTGGCATTGTATGTTTACTTTTTGCATATGTTAAATAAAACGTGTTGAACGTCAGTAATATTCTTTTTGTCGCTATCGTCAACAATATGATTTCAAAAATGAAGTCAGTACTTGTGATAACTCGAGTCGAGAAACATACTTACCTTTGCACTTTTGTGTACCTTAAAACTGTTAAGTATTGTCTCGATGGTTGTTACGCATGCTCCTTGCTTACCACCTATCAGTTTTGCACGACCCGTACACCATTGCAACACTATGACCTTTTCTAGTGAGGCATTATGTGTCCGATTCGTGGTTCCTAGCACAATTTTACACTCAAAAACATAGTTATCTAACTTTATGGATTGCGGGTGTATTTTTTGACGTTTGTTTATTCATAGACAAATGTCAAGAAATACGATTTAGGACAGTGATAGAGTTAAGGATTAAGTTCGGACCCCAAAGCTCATGTCAATTTAGTATGACAACTATTGGACTTTATGTATTTTCTAATATATGAAACTGATTTGAAAAGAAGCCGAACTGGTTTGAAATGCATTAGTGAAGAAAATGCATTGAGTACTATGATAAGAAGTACAAGGTACGTTTTAGTGGTATAAATATTTGGCAGTATACTAGAGTAACTTTTTTATATTCATACTTACTTAAGTCCTTAGTGAAGAGGAAAGTCCGAGTTTTCTGAGCCGATAAAGACACCTAATTCTGTCGACATCAACCAAGTTAGTTTGATCTAGCGATTCAATTTACGAATTTTGGAAAATATAAACAACACCAAAGTCCATTTTAATTGTGAATTGACAACGTTTTAGTCATCCTTTTTCGTCCTGTACACAATTTCATATTCCGAAAACATATACACTAGAATATAGCTTTTACACATGTCCCTTTGGAATCCTGGTACATCAATCTGTCATTTCCATTCATGGTTTGTACACATACACTTTAACTGGAATATATGTACCTTTTGATATGATAAATAGATACAACAACACTGCTTAGTTGCACAAAGCTTTTAGTCACAAAGTACACTAATATTAATGAACATTGTCACTAAATTTAGGTATGTCTTAAACCAATGCTTGCAGTGAAAAAGACACTCTTAATACGTCTTAATGCAAGAGTGTCTTATAATTTAAGTGTTGATTTAAGACATACTTAGTTTAGTGCATATGGAAATAAGTTGAACATTTTGTAATTTACACACACGCACAGATTTTTCAAAATAAACAAAACCATAACGCGACCTCGGTCTAGTCCATTGTGCCACGGCCCTTCCAAAATATAATATTAATATAAATAAATAAAATATATTTATAATTATTATTATTATTATTTAAAATTAATATAAAGATAAAATTAAGGAAACGTATAAGAAGTTATCAAAATAAAAAGCTATTGTTGAAAATCCGACACACACTTGAACTGAATCTAACAAACAACACACTTTTAGCAGTTGTTTTAACATTTTCAGTTTACGGTCAGTGTTGATATTCTTTTGCCTTTTCAATCTGTTATCTTAGTACCACTACAACATAGACCTAGCTTAAATTTTGCTCGAGCACTTTGCCACCACTGATTAAGAGTCGATACTACCTCAACTCGAATTCAAATTTTGCCCGTACTAATACGTTTCTATGCTTTACACTGGCTATATTTCAGAAATTATTTTTTTATTCACGAAATTAAAGCTATTTGAAAAATGTATATCGTATGACTTATACGCGTTCTGTTTAGTTCTATTGATATTTGAAAAGTCATTGATATATTATGTAAAGTACCTATTGAAGAGTTCACTGTATATTTTTTTATTACAAAGTGGTTGATTTAACACTTTCACTGCTGTGCGTAATCAATCAAAGCCATTTGAGGTTGCATTGACTCTTAATAAACGTTGTTACGTTACGTTAACAGAATTCAAAATTACATTACAACAAAACTTCCCTGTCGTATTATTTTGAACTTTGCTGCGTTGTAACAAGTCGTGGGAAAATACCCGAGCACGTCTACCTCGCTCGAAACTACGCTGACCTTTAGACGGTTAAATAAATTCTTAAAAACCGTGCAAATATTGTCAATGTTTGCGTAAATTACTTTAGGCATTCGAATGTACTTTAGGCACATATATTCCTCAGACAGCCAAAAGCAAGCGAGCATACGTTTCAACCATCGAACAGTGTTAAGTCTATGCTAATCACAGTCTTTCTGTCAATCATTCCTGACATGGCAGCTCCTGGATCATATACTCTTCAACCCCGCATTGTGGATACACACCCCCGCGGCAGTGCAAGCGAGGCTTTACTGCTACCTGGCCACGGACTTCCTAGCTGACGCTCATATCTATGGAAGTGTGAGGCGGGTCAGCACTGTGTTGCAGACTGTACATACACTGAAGTATTACTATTGGGTCGTCAACCCGAGACAGAAGAGTGGAATCAGCCCAAAGGGAATGGGTAAGTGTTTTTTTTAAAGTTTAACATAAATTTTTGTTTTTAAATTTTAGAGCAACGTTGTGCCCTTTTAGCGTGTTTCTTATTTCTCAACAGCTGAATATACAAATTTACATTTTTCATTATCAAAATGTATTGTATCAAAATGATTAAAGCGTAAAACACACAGTGAGCGGGTGCAGATCGGGCGCTATCGGGTCGGGCGCGTTACCGCGGCGAGTCTAATTGCGTGTATTAATATGGACGACAACATACCGAGCGCTGGTGCGTGCGAACGTCCCGAGTCTGTCTGATTCACGCTTTATTCTCATGATAATTTTTTGACGGGTGACAATCGTAATCACAATCAGTTGTTAACGTCATGTCATGACAAAATGTTAAGAAATACCCGATTACAATAGCAGCGAAGTTGAATATAATGTAAAAGATTCATCACTGTCAGCACAATAATAGACGTGTACGAAAAGTTACGTTCCCTTGAAGATCTGAATTCACGTTCAAAAATCAACATTTAAACGGTGCCAATTTGATTAAAACTCGTTTTTCGCTACTTTATTGCCGAAATACTTAGTTAAGTCAATTTGAATTAACTATGAAGTCTACTGTTAAGCTTTAAAGTTCCTGAACTTAAAGTTGACATGGAATTGTGGGTGGGCATGCCTCTGCACTTCCTAGTACCACGTTCATGTGCCATAATTACCAATAATAGGCGGGTCGCAGTATGATTTTATTTTATTTATTTTTTATTTAAACACTTTATAGTACCACAAAGTAACTTACAAATTTTCAGACACAATTTAAATCCTTAGAAAAAATACCAATATGCCAAAGGAGTGATTAGAAAGTGTATTTTGTCAAACGTATTTACGTTTGACAAAATACACTGTAACCCAAATCCAGCCCTTGTTGGATTGATCGCTAATAGTAGGGTAATTGAGAAGTATCGGAAATTAAATGATTGCGTTTACATTAAAAAATCAAGTTGATGTGAATTATCAAATGTCAAAACAGAATCAAAATTCCTAGAAAAAAAAAAAGTTACAGAAGTCTACAATTAGAATAATGCCAGAGGCGGCCGCGGAGGAATAAAACGTCGTGTCACGTATTTTTTCGTAGGTGGATTTGGAAGACAAAAGTAGATATTTTTTTAATTTCATTTCAATCAACGGCGGCAGAGTTGAAAAATCCGAAAACGAACAGCAGAGTCGTCATAAGTATATTTTATTTTATTGAGAGATTGACGCCATAAACAATATCGTGCCAAATATCTCACTCTTACCACGTTAATTTGTCACCGCATTGCGACTGTCAAGTGCAAAGTTAGTGTTTATGTAATAGATAAATGACGGTCGCATTTAAAACCACCAGCCCGGAAGTAATGTTGATAGATTCGATTTCGACAGTCACCGCTTACAGTGTTGAATATTTTGTTTAGGGAAAATTTAAAGATTTTTGATCGACAGTCAATGACGAATGGACTTTTCGTGATAAGCTTACATCTACATTTATAGAACTGAAAAAGACAATTCAAAATTAGTATGATTTTTAGTACGTTTTTATTTCAGCGAGCATGTAGAGCGATCGCTGAAAACACTTTAATAAAAGTTGTTTGATTTGTTATGTCTAATATTTTAAACATTACAATTTTCTTCACTAAAGTGTGGACAACATTTTCAGAGGGTCCCCGTCCTGCGCACAAGGACATCCTTACCATCAGAGCGTACATCCTTCTCTTCTTGAAACAACTGATAATGATCGGCAACGGTGTGAAGGACGACGAACTGCAGTCCATACTTAACTATTTAACGACCATGCACGAGGTATGGCCGCCTGGTACTTATATCAAGACTGGTTCAATATGAATCAGTCGTGCATATTTATGATAGTGAAATACAGCAACAGTATTAATAACCCCAAAAAGAAAATGTCTGCCACGATTATTATTCACTTCAATTTTCCTGGGTTTGGATTTAAAGTTCAGTTTCACACCCACACTTAAAATTTGTAGTATCATGTACAACTATGTATTTACCGTTATAATATATAATTCAAAATTTTCCAGTTTCAATTTAAAACTACTTGCAACTTGTAAGAAGTTTCAAAAGATGCTGGCGGATATATTTTTACAGCAATAAACATAACTTACGGAAGTTCCAGAGTAAAAAGAGTGTACAGTCTTGGAAAGATCTTTGCATAATACAATTTTTCATCTACGGCAAGAAAGCGATCTTAATATTGTCATTTGATACTTACCTAGGGAATTGTTTAATGTAAATTAAGTAAGAGACCAGGGCGCCTACCATAGCCTTTCTAAAAACAATCTTATTTCAATGCAAGCTCAAAGTAAGCTTATTATAATATTACTCATATTCGTACCATGACGAAACTGTCAACCAAGTAATGTATTGTTGCAAAAGTGATTGAAAGAACGAATGATTACCCAATATTGTCCATTCGTTACTAAAAATAGGAAAGAGACAACGCAATGAGAACTGTATAATGCCATCTCTGTCTTTTTTGATGTTCCGAATCGTCCTATCGTAGTATAATGTTTAACTACTTAAAGTTATTTACATTCAGAGAATTTTGACTGTTAAAAAAAGAAAAGTACGTAATAATAAAATCTATTAAAATTACGTTGATTTCAATAATTATTCCGCATTTTCATGAAGAAAAATAAATAAAACAAGCTGAGTCTTGATAGTCACGTTGTGAATTCGGAAGTATAATCTAGTGTCAACTGTTAGTTTCGCCAAGGAGCATATGGATAAACATCGCGTATTTTTATTCAACGAGAAATTATTTACTACGCGCTGTTAAACAAAAAATAAACAAAATATTGAATAGATATATGTAAATAAATAACTTCAACTTAACTTTTAATCGTTACAAATCAATATTAAGACAAAAAAACTGGAAATAATGTTGTTTCCATTGCGTCCGTGTAACTATTTTAAGATTGCTAAATTTGACACAAGAGCAATAGTATTTTAATGTTAAAATAGCGTCATAGTACGAACTGAGTGAATGAATAGTCACAAAGCTGCCAATAAAACATCATAGTTTTAACATTATAATAAGGTTATTGTTTTAAGAGGTTGTGGTAGGCTCCCTGGGCCCGAAGTCTGCTAATTTTAAATCATCTTAGTTGTGTGTAAATAGAGTGTCAATGGCAGGATTTTGTACGTTTCGTATTCTGCTAAAAGTTAAAGACAGGTATCGAGCTACAGTCGATCAACAGTCATTGCCATTTTTATATTCTGCTCTTCAATGGCGAATCGATGGCACGTCCTTGGTGTAGTCTACTAATATTATAAATATTTAATTTGATGGCTAAATTGCAAAATAAAGATTTAAAAATTAATATAGGCGTAATAATTTCCATGGTAGTTTTTGCATGTGTTAAGTGATTGCATGAATACTGTTGGGTAATTTTCCGAGACTCCCAAATAAATTTGAAAAATATAATTTGGAATAATATAAAAAATAAAAAGACAGGTACAACAAGCGGCCTTATTGCTATATAGCAATCTCTTCCAGGTAACCTTCGGGTTACAGGAAAAACTGTGAAATAATAATTAATTGAGGGCGCAATAGAATTCGTATTTAAAACACATATTGCACATACACAAGTGAAAAAAAAGAAAAATACTAACAAAAATAGTCTAAGTTTTTTCAAAGTTTTTCCATGATCCAACCCTAAGCACGAATGAATGCTATCACTGCCATTCCACTGACACTCTTTTGAGACTCAACTGCCTTTGCAACTAGATTTCTCCTGAATAACGAATATTATTATAATCGCTATTGTTATAATCTTAGATCAGTTTCAATCATAGACATAGGAAAATGGAATTACAATGACCTGGGTTCCAAGTAAATTTTGTAAATCAATTCCAGGATGAAAACCTGCACGACGTTCTGCAAATGCTGATTTCCCTAATGTCAGAACATCCCAGCTCGATGGTGCCTGCGTTTGACGCCAAGGGCGGAGTCCGAACGATATTCAAGTTGCTCTCGTCCGAAAGTCAACTTATCAGATTGCAGGCTCTCAAGTTGCTTGGGTTTTTCCTAAGTAGAAGCACTCACAAGTAAGTATAACAAGACTTTGTTAAGACTTGACAATATATGAAGGTTTAAATATGCTTATACATTGCTTATTCAGCCTAGATTGGTGTGAACCACAAACGTGAAAGTGGTGAATGTGTACGTGGACGCAGAGGCAACGTCATTCACTTCTATTGGCACAATAATTAACTGTGTAGCTAAATGATCAACATTAATCTATTAGCAAACACTCACGCATATGTGAGTACTGATGTAGTTCACGTTAACTTAAAATAAGTAAACTACAACCAGTTCCCTCGTGGTTTGCGGGACGCGGGAAGGGAGATAAACTATCAATCAGCAATCACCCCTGTGGAAAAGCAGGCACGATAACTTATGCACGATTGCTAGTACAATAAATTGTATATTAATATATTTTAATACTAATCAATAAAATTTCCAGGCGTAAATACGACGTAATGTCTCCCCACAATCTGTACACGCTGCTGGCAACACGCCTAGGGGCGAGCGGCGAAGGGCTCACTCTGCCCGTCTACAATGCGCTTTACGAACTGCTCACCGAGCATGTTGGCCAGCAGATCCTGTACACCAGCCATCCAGAGCCACAACCTCATTTCCGTCTGGAGAATCCTAGTAAATATTTTCATACTGCTATAATAATAATAATGTGACAGATAACTAGACCAATTACCTGGTCTCGAAGTGAGGAATTCCCTGCACTAAGGTAACAGAAAAATTCATTTAGCAAATTCGTCCTACCTTCCTCATCCAGCGCTCACAGTGTTAAACGTTGGACTACCATTTGTTGTCTATAGAATAATCAGAATAATGTAGGTTCTATCAGCGCTTCGTTCGTGGTATCGTAATACATTTGTGGACTTTCTATAAAAATAAATAATAATAATTCTTATTTTCCCCTTCCACAGTGATACTGAAAGTGGTAGCTACTCTGATCCGTCAATCGAAACAAACGGAATCACTTCTCGAAGTCAAGAAACTGTTTCTCTCAGACATGACGTTATTATGCAGCAATAACCGCGAGAACCGCAGGACAGTGTTACAAATGTCAGTATGGCAAGAATGGCTTATAGCTATGGCATATATTCATCCGAAGAATGCTGAGGAACAAAAGATATCGGACATGGTATATTCGCTGTTTAGAATGCTGTTACATCATGCGATCAAGCATGAGTATGGAGGATGGAGGGTTTGGGTTGATACGTTGGCTATCGTGCATTCAAAGGTGAGTCTTCTGAATCTTCTCTAGCTTTTAAAGAAGAAGAAGAAGAAGAAAGAATTGGAAATTTAATAAAGGAAGAATGTGGATATGTGGAAGGTCATATACAAAATTATCTAATGTTTCAGGTGTCTTACGAAGAATTCAAACTCCAATTCGCTCAAATGTACGAGCACTACGAGCAAAGACGGGCTGACAACATCACGGACCCAGCGGAACGGCAGCAGCGCCCCATCTCCACCATCTCCGGCTGGGACCGACACACAGACAGACATACCGACGGACAAAAGTCTCGAATACTACAAGACACTGATGACAGTGTTGACTCTTCTCCTGTCTCGATCAGGAAGCAAAACGTACTTAATCACGCCGCCCAAACTGAAATAGGCAAAGGTTTGTCTCTACGTGAGGTTGAATCTTGCAGTTGTAGCAAACCTCAAGAAGAGCCACGGACTACAGTAGTGTACAGTGAAGTGTGTAAAGTGCATAGTCCTAAACATGTAAATACCGATGTGCCCTGCGTTGACGACGGTTGTGATAGTGTTAAAGTTACAGACAGTACCAGTGAGACGGAACATGCGATAGACGAAGCTGAAACTTCAGCGGAACCGAAGTTGCTCAACACTGATAATGAATTAGTCGAATCAATTATTATCGAAAGTAAACTCCTTGAAAGTTCAGAATCGGGAATAGGAACAATTGCAGAAGAAAAGAGTGAGAAACCCCTGACTAGACAAGGAAGTCTTGATTATATTCCAGTTAGAGATGTAGGAGATACCGTCTCAACTAAAGACGATAATACTGACAAAAGCGAAGGTCTGCCTTCGAGTTTATCTGTGAGCGAGACAACAAGTCCAGAGCGCAACGTTGATGGGCTGAACACGACTGAGAGAGAATCAGAACTATCCGATCCGTCCGAGCTATATCTAACTCCGAGCGAAACGACTAGCCCTAAGAAAATACAAGATAAGACTGACATTCTTGACGATGATTGCGATGACCCAAAACATATTGCTATTAATATTGTTAATGACGTTATCACAGTTGCACTGGAAACAGTAAAGTTAAAAGCAGACGATGACACTGATTCTGGTGCCATATCTGGCGGACATTCTGGCGTACATTCCGAAGGTAACACACCAAACGGTCGCGAAGATTTCGAGCATGAAATCGAGGAGATCATTAGTGAACAGCGAACTGCTGAAACTGTTGCTAATGAACTTATAAATGATATTGTTTCGACAGTTGTAGCTAAATGTGAAGAGAAAGACAGACCAAGTAATGAAACTGAATCTGTAGGAACAGAAGATAATATTGCTGAAGATAACAGTCCTCAAAGGGTTATACCGTCGGATCATCCTCATGAGGGCAACGTTTTGCCCCTTGATGGTGAATTTTTAGTAAATTCTAGAAAAGAAGAGCCCATCAAGGAGTCTACAGAAGAAGCTGAAGTCAAAGACGAGGTTTCTGAAGAAAATTTGAAAAATGAAAGTCAAAGAGTTGAGACAAATTTACCAGAGGAGCAGAAAACTCCAGAGATACCTCCGATTTCGACTATAAGCGAGAACATTTCAAACCTTGAAGCTAACAAGCAGGAACAAGAGGACGAGGAAGATAGAAATCGCGACTGTGAAAGAGACAAGAGACGTGTGAGCTTACCAGGCGATAGTCAAATGAAGCAGGATAGTAACAGGGAAGGTGTTGCGTCTCAAGGGACTAACACATCTACGTCGCCAAAGAGGCCCCGTAGCGCTTCGACGAGCACACAAGTCGATTCTAATCATTTCGGTAAGTAATATTGTCATAATTTTTTTAAGACGGTGAACACTTACACGCGAGAAAAAGAAGAAAATAAATAGAGAAATATTGATTATCGCTTAGTTATTGAGACGGAAATTCGAATTAGATTTCACATTTCATCTTCACAGAAACGAAAAGGCCATCAAAGTGCAATCGGCCAATGTTCTCTCCGGGGCCGACGCGACCTCCGTTCAGGATACCAGAGTTCCGTTGGTCTTACATCCACCAGAGATTGCTGTCTGATGTCCTGTTTTCATTGGAGACAGATATTCAAGTGAGTTCGATTGTCATTGCACAGTTGTAGGTTGACATTCCAATTACTTAACAAGTCACATGTGTACCGCATCACAACAGATTGCAAATAGTCGCAATTGCAAGTATTTAATGTGAAATGTAATAAAGTCATGATTTAACGTCGAAAGGGACAGTTTGAATGCTATGTAGAACCGACAAGGACTGCCACTTACAGACGTTTGAGATACTAAGGAAATATCACAATTGAATCACGCTGGTTTTCCTTGTTGGCTGATGATTAAAATTATCTATACCATTTAATGGTAAAGTTCGACAACTTTGTTTCTAATAATAATAGCTAAATCGTAATGGTCTCCTAGGTATGGCGAAGTCATTCAACGAAGTCAGTGATCGACTTCGTCAACAGCAGCGAGAACGCCATCTTCGTTGTAAACACCGTGCACCTGATCAGTCAGCTCGCTGACAATCTGATCATCGCGTGCGGGGGATTGTTGCCGCTGTTAGCCTCCGCTACTTCACCTAACGTGAGCGCAACTCCTATATTTCTGACAGAATTTAAAGGTCCTCGTTTAGCCACAGTAACATCTTAGTTGACTATTGAGTGTACTAGAACTGCTTTCGCTTACGTAAACTCATGTATATTTTGTTACGTGATAAAGTCTGCAAGCCGCGTGTGTTGCAGAACGAGCTGGACGTGATCGAGCCGACCCAGGGCATGCCGGTGGAGGTGGCCGTGACGTTCCTGCAGCGGCTGGTGAGCATGGCCGACGTGCTCATCTTCGCGTCGGCGCTCAACTTCGCCGAGCTGGAGGCCGAGAAGAACATGTCCAGCGGCGGCATTCTCAGGCAGTGCCTGAGATTGGTATGTGCCGATTTATCGCGGCTTCAGCAACGTAACGGTTGCGTGAATCAATGTTTCGCACATTTTTAAAATGGCAACTTTACATTATCCTTATTTTTGATACTCATTTCACTCTTTTCACATGACACGCAGCAAGGTCTGGTCATATTTTAGTCTGTGTTTGTAATAATGGTAAAAAGCAATAGTTTGTGTGTCCGAATTGTCATACACAGTTAAAGATAAAACAATTTTTTTTTTCATATCAGACTTGTCGATTTGCATTTTTAACCATCTATATATTAGTACGAGAACATTCAGTTTTGAAATGTGCGAAATATAATTTTCTTTAAATTTTTTAAGCTTCTTTTCTCTATTAAGTCTTCTATCTAATTTCAGTAATTTGACTTCGAGAAACGAAGGAATTTCTTGAAAATTCTCTAGAAACATGCAGATTATTTAGTAGAACTGTTTCAATCTATTAAAATAGCATAGACTCAGACATTTAAACATAGATTTGTTGCAAACGAGTCGCTGATACTCTATTGTAGATGTATTTTATGTAAAAACACTTGCATTTCTTTATAGTTTTAGTTTTTTATTAAGGAACAACGAACTCTTTGTCACCTTTATTCAAAAAAGTGAAACAATTATTCATTACGTGAACTATTTTGAATGTTAATTTCACTTGTAAATTGGAAATCTAGTAGAAAGAAATAGTTACTTAATTGAATATACTGAAGTTTGTTTAAATAAACTTAAATTATTCTCCTTTGAAGTTTGAAGTCACAGTTGGTGATCTTGGATGTTCAAAAATAAGTTGAAAGGCCCTATTAGAATTTTATGAATGCAGAATCCGTAAGAAAAATATCCAGTGTTGAAGAGTTCGTCGTTCCCTCTCCTAGCGTAGTACTAGCGTGGTAGCCTAGCTAGCGTTCTAGCGTTGTATGTGTACGTAGGTGTGCACGTGCGCCGTCCGCAACTGCCTCGAGTGCAAGGAGCGCCAGCGGTACGCGGCGCGTGCGCGCGCGCACGACGATAGCGACGCCAAGGTAACATGTCGACAGACGCACCTCTTCCGAAGCTCCGGAACTACATATATTCCCGTACCGGTTATACCCATTTGTTGCGGCCATGGAACAAACTACCAACAATAGAACCAATTGTCAACATGTCAACTGACTAAGAAATGTACAGCAGAATTTACTTCCAGCAACTCTATAATTATGTCTTAAAATAAAAATAAAACGCTGAAAGATACCTAACAAAAATTATCACTTGAAAATTTTTACATAAGTCATCAAAAATAAGTATTCAACGATTATTGGAATTTTAGTTAAATTTTCTTAATAGTCTTACTGAACGAATCGTACATATTGAAATATATATAAACCTAGCAATGCAAAAGCATATTGCAGCCCAAACCGGGCATTAAAACGCCCAAATTACGATACGGTGTTCTGCGACTAATGCTGACAAATTACTACCATAAATCACATAAGCAGAATCCTAACAAAACGTCCCATTTATCTCAAACGACTGTCTTGATTCGTTTTCTCTTTTCCTCCAAGATATCCATTCCTTAAAAGACTCCTTCAACGTTATGCGATCCTGGTACTTCGTGTCACGCTAATTGGATAGCTGTCAGTTTTTTGAGCGTATGTGATTTATGAACGCATTCCAGCCGACATTTATAATTTGTTAACGTACACAAGAAATATGTCCCGCTGATTTCTGTAGAGATTTCTCTAAAAATCTTACCTTTTATGGTTATGTGGTTCTGGTAGTCTTAGATGCAGGACACGGTTAATTTTTTGCACTTTTGATGTCAGGTTTTGCTTAGTTAATTTAAGAAAACAAATCTTATTGTGTTATGCAATCCTGGTACTTTTGATGTAATCGATCTACAAAGTTAACAGTAGTTTCTTTCACACTGCACTATTTTAAAAATGCACAACAAATAATAATACAAATCACCGAATAAAAAAGGGAATTTAGGAGCGAGCACTTTAGAATAAATAAGCACTACAAGATCTCCATACATAATTGTTTTCTTTTGCATGATTTTCTTATAAGAATCCTACAAGTTATTCAGAAAAATTGCATGTTTGAAAATATGCAAAATTTCTTCAATGTCTATTTTATTACTTCTACACTTTCATCTATCTATCTATGTAGGTACTTATATATATTTCACTTATTTGCAAAAATGCTCATTACTGACAAAAGAGCATTTGGAATTTATTTTAAAATAAATTTAGAACTAAAACGTGACATAAATAAAGCTTTAGCAACTTCTTTTGAATGCCACAGAGCGTGGTAGCCAGCCTGGCTGATGCTTCAAGCCCCGTCAAGGATCCGGAAAGATTGCTTCAGGACATGGACGTTAACAGATTGAGAGCTGTCATTTATAGAGATGTGGTAAGTGATTTCTATTATCTCTTGTAACCTGAGATCAACGAATAAGGCGGTAGCGCTTTTGTTGTGTCTACGTGCCCTAGCTATGGACTAAAGTTTATCTGTAGAGAGATATGCGCAGCACTGGGGGAGAATTTTTACTAAGAAATTTAGTGCATCTTCTTATGGATACTTTGCTTCAATATTGAAAGGATAATTTTCATTTTCAGTTTGTGTAAAAAAGACAACGTACGTAACGAAATAACAACGTATTTCCTTCACAGGAGGAAACAAAACAAGCCCAGTTCCTGTCACTCGCAATAGTGTACTTCATCTCCGTTTTAATGGTATCTAAGTACCGGGACATTTTGGAGCCACCTGCGCACGCGCCACCTGACTGCGCGCGTCGCTCGCATCACCAGCACGATCATCACGGTACGTATAAATTTACATTTTATTCAATTAATAGGCGTCGGCCTGACGGTTTTTGGTCGATTAGTTTACGGGTGATTTGTGCAAACTAAATTTTGTTTACTTATGACTGAGTAAAAAGTTTTATTTTGTACTAATTAATATGATGAGTCCATTGCGCATAAGGGTGCACTACAAGGGTCGTGCTGTACCCTATTTATTGCAATTTTACAAATGCAGTTGTCATTTTTCATTACGTATTATTCTCCTGTAATAAACGTGTACGGGCGAGGCTCTTAACTCTTTTGCATTCATTCAGTTCACAAGTAAAAGAAACGCCTAATATAAATTGACTGGAAAAGTATGCACAGTTATTTTGCATACCCAGTCTGTGTTTCTAGTAAGATCTACGATGTGATGTGCATAAGTGGTTTTAAAACCGGGATACTTGTTATATTGGGTGACACCCTAAAATGCTTTATGAAACTTCAAATTCTTGATCTAGACACACTTTGAGGTTAGTCTAAATTTTATCATGAAACTTCAATTGGCTATTTTATATTTTATTGCACTCCCCTTGCTATTTATTTTATCCATATTTAATATTAAGTATAATTATGTCTTGAAAAGAGAAAAACATCGTAATAAAACCGTTTGTATATAGATTTTCTGCAATTAACATAAAAATACACCAACATCTAGCGAGCACAAGTTTAGGTAAAGTATTTATCGTTTTATGTATTGAGTAGCTTATTACATAAAAACTGTTTACACCATTATGAACATTTAATAATAGATATTTTTATTTATATATAATATATCGCTATTTATTTTGCTTCTTCTATAAATGCTTTCTTGCACATGAATTAAATATGTCTTCTTCATTATTTATTGGTAACCTATGTATTATAATGATTGTCTAAATTTATTATTCATTTTCATCATCATTGTTACTATCGCGGTCAAATTCCGTCTTTTTCTCCTTACATTGAACAGAAATAAATACCTTTTAAAAATCTTCCAATTCTTTCTAAACACTTGAAATGGCTTAAATAAAATCTCGTGAATTATGAATTGTTTCTTTTGGAAATTAGCGGCGTGTGTTAAAAAAATGTTTCATTACAATGTTGACTTATTTGTGTTTTTGCAATTCTGAAGAATTCGAACAGTATACGTTTTTATTTAAATCATAATAGTGTTTGTGGAACCTTTGAAGGTATCTATTATTTTGGCCATTTAATAACGAGTGTAATTCATTATTGATCTATTTTTATTTAATATTTTTACACTTTGACCGCGTCAGTAACAAAAAGAACATACTAAATAGACTTGTATATCTGAAGTGTGTCGTTTCTCCTTTTTTCACGCCGCTTGATATCGCGTCACCGTTTGGGACACTGGTAAAACCTACATTTTACTACACTCCGGTACTACATCGACACAATCACTATCTTAATTCTTTGACAAATCACTCTGTTGCAAATTCTTAATGTGCGGTTTTGTTCTTTGAAATCCACACGGCGTCGCTTACTTCCGTTTACTCAATGCAACATGGCTTTGAATTTTCTAACTTCTCTTGATATCCTATTACTTAATTTCACTCTACTTAATCTTCGCTAACTTTGCAACGAATTTTTTCTTCTTTAATGTGTTATTATTGTCTATTTCAATTTGTAATGGACCATAATGCCTCTGTGATCTTCTTTAATCTGTATTTATTACATTTGTAAATTTTCATGTTTCATTTTATAATCTCTCTACTTTTTCTGGCCTCTGATGTCATTACTTATTTCTCTATGGCGATGTGCATTATCGTGGCTCGTATTTCGTCTATGGGAAGTTAGGATCTCGACCGCTGTTCCCCCAGTGGTCTCACCATGTGTATCCTCAGTTCTTACCCGGTGGGCATCCCCATGCGCATCGTCACCATGCTCACCCCCACCCCCACCCCCACTGCAAGCTCGACTGTGCGCAACACAACAACAATAACGCACGCCTGCCTAACTACCACCGCGCGCACGCAGGTAACGCGCGTAAACTTACTACATGGCGTTCGCATCATTTATGGTTGCCTGTAGGCGAATTGTATATGTATTTAACACCGAAGTTATACATGGAAAACTTAACTGAGAAGGTACTATCAAAAGTTCTTTATCAAGTTTATTCGTTATAGTAGGTTTTAATAAATCAACTGGCAACTTGACCAACTTTAACGAAAGTACTCTATTTATTTCATTTGCCATAAGTAAAGCCTGTACTTATTTGAGTGGAATTACTCTACCTCATTTCGATTTATACATACAAAATTCTAAATCAATATTGTTAAAATGAACCTAACCAAATTAGCTGAAGTTAGATTGAAGTTAACGTTAAAATTTGTACAGCAGAGTAACAACATGGTTGTTAAATTTGTGCTAAATCGCTTGCATGCTTTTAGAGTTACTCTCCTGTACAAATACATGCTAAACGTAGGTACATGATGCGAACGCCCTATATACTAGATGTGGTCAATGTTCGCGCTCTTTGTTTTGTCTAACTGCATAGAAAATGTGTACACACACTCTCCATGCTGCATGCATTTTCTACTTAACAAGGTATGGACGATGAAGTGGACGCGACAAAGATTGTTACAAGTTGTTCTTTTGTTTGGGGATTGTCAAACTAATTTATTCTTTCGTTTTCTGATTGGATGTGTGTACGCAATCGCAGGCAATCGCAAATTTGTATTAGCCTGTCGTTAAATTATTGATTTATAAACGCACTCCCAATATTTGTGTTTTGTAAGTCAAATAGAACAAGTATTTGAAAAGAGATGAAGAGCTTTCGAATCCAGTTAGACAAGACAGTGTTTCCGCACAGCTAAGGCACCGCTTTATTTCAGTTAAATTTTCATATGATTTGCGTCATCTTAAACATAGAATGAATATCATTTAATTTCGAAGAGCATGTCTATAAAATAAACAAAAATGTGTACATCGGTCAGAAATCGATATAAAAAATATCTTAACCAGAATTGAAAAAGATACTACGATATTTTTTCAAGCTTTCTGATCGAATCTAATCCATACACAACGATTCTGTACAATAATTTTTTTTGTTATTTTTGTGTCGGTTACGCATTACGTACGCCAAGGCCAAACCCTACAGTCGAGAATACGTTCCACATAAGCGATTACCGACACGAACTAAAATTAATGCGTGACGTCTAGACTACGCTTCCAAGGTCTTGATTTTGGCCAACATAGTACGGAACAACCCTTAGAGAATATTTTACTTTAGTCTTAACTACATTAGTAAACTATAAATTAGTACTGTACAGAATTCCAAATTAAATAGATTTATAATCACATTATAGTGTAGAAATGTTTCTCGAACCTCAATAAATGCTTTATTAAGCAAGCTTAATCAATGTTGTAATCACACTAAAGTGACAACAACATATTTTAGCTTTACATTAATTTTATGTTCTCCAGATCACAATGGCGACGACGTCGAATACGCGATGATTGTAGTTGATGAAAATAATTCTACGATGAACGAACTAGACTCGCCATCCATGAAGGTAAGTTCAAAACAAAGTTAATACAAATATTAAATTTCGTATTCTAATAGACGCATGTGATTTGGTACTGAATTTTTGATACTTTTGTAATGTTTTTAATTATATATTTTGTGGATTTTATGACGCTTTAGATAGGAGATGACATTTGGCAATCGTAATCGTTAATGTTGTCCATCGAAAAATACGTGAAATGATTTTGTAGTGACTGAATTAAAATCACTGGTATATAAGCATTTTTCTTTCTCCAATTGACGATCATTGTAGCTGAAAACTTTATAGATATTCCCTAAAAGAAATATTTTGTTTTAACTCCAAAGAAATAAAATATATCATATTGAAATTATCGAAGTTTTTAGCATGTATTTACAGTATGCTGATATTTGGTACAGTGTTCAAATCATTTAAAGTAGCTTAGTGCCACGACCATTATAAATAGAATAGTGAAACCGATTGTAGCTTTTTAGCATGGTATTTGGCAACAAAATTGTATAACGTTTTTATGTTGATCCCATTAATTTATGTTGAGCGAAGTTGATTTGCCGTTTTAACAAATTGTTTTAGGGTAGATCGCAGACTACGAACAAATAATTGTTGACTGATTTTCTGTCGATGATAAAGACCAGGCGTACAGTGATATGACTACGAAATTGTATGTAAACTTAGGTTACTTCAATGCCCGGCTTCCGTTCCGTTCATTACGACAAGGAATAGATGCCGTGTGACAGAAATTGGTAAACAATTATCATACCTGCATAAAGCCTGATGTCTGCCATCTGCTAACGGGTCTATGTATAGCCAGTGTCGTGATGATGACGCTTTGTTACATTCGTTTTTGTTTTGCTCATCGCTAAAATCCAAAAGGAGCAGGCGAGCGAAGATATCGCCAAGATAGAAACCACTACAGACGAAGTGAAGCCTGGAGAAAAACCAAAGACATCAGAGACATGCAAACCTGAGCCTTCCCCTGCATCGGAAAAGGAAGAACCATTATTCAAGTCGAGTCTTCGAATAAAACCGAAAACAAAGGTAAGTTTCGGATCTTACGGTGGATTTAGGTTGGAGTTCTGTCTCTATTAGACTCTCCCTTTGGTGGTCTTAGGTCCTTTTGATCTGTGGATTCTACTCTCTTTTTCGCTCTAGTCGGATCTCCTATTTTTATCGCTAGACCGCCTGCCTTAGTTATGGTTTTTGACATACGAGAGAGAAACGCACGTGAGTGTGCATTTGTGTGCACTTTCTCATGCCTCATAGACCAAAAGGTGGGAAAACTCGTGGCAGTTAAGCTATAAAAGTATATTTTCATTTATCGTAAAAACGCATTGTGTTTTTCGTAACCCAGATCGGTGACAAGTCGACGTTTAGTACTTATTTAATTTAAAACGGGTTTCGACATATGTTAAGTTCATATTTGTTATTTCAACTTTCCTATTATTCTCTTTGATTTATTTTATCCCCGGAGATCCCGCTAAAGTGAATATAAACTTTAAAAACGTGAATCTTTCCTTCTTGGTGTTAAAGTATAAATTCCTGACTAAATGAATGTTATTGTCCTTTCATAAGCCTCCAACCGCAAGGTCCAAAGTTTCTGAGATAACGGTGTCGGTGGTCAATTTGGTTTGTACTTATTATGGTTCAACACGAGTTTTAGTGTGTACTACTGGTTGGATATGAGAGCCTGGTACGGTTAGTAATAGTTATTTTTTTAATAAGGTCTTGTCATGTCTAAAGGTTGTCAGTTTGCTCTAAAATCACAAAATACGTTTACTAAATCATTCTGCTATGAAATTGTATTGCTGTTGTAAGTTTTGTAAATGACGATTGGACAAATTGCAGAATAACCATTTTGGACTAAGTGCTTTTAATAAATATAAATAATAACGTCTGCGGGATTAAAATAAATACAAATAATTTTATTTATTTCTCAACAAGAATTACACTCTCATGAGAAAACATATATACAACGTAATATGTTAATGGACAGAAGAAAAAATATCTAAACTATGAATTATTACTAAACATACTATTCTTAGTTCTCAAGAACCAGCCAGTACGTGCGCAAACACAAGCTTGTCACTACACTCAAAGTGTAATATACAAATACAGATGTTAAAACACTAGCAAGTTTACGCTACACTCACTGATTATAAAAATATGTAAGTATACGTAACATCATGCCGTATATTTGTAGAGCACTTAGCGCACGGTTCTAATAGGATATATTTTATAATTAAATACAATTCATAATTATAACAGACAAGTGGAGTAATTTCACAGAAAAAAATTGAATATATTGGTAGTAAAACATCGTGACATTCAATAAAATTATTAAAGCGACATCTCTAGTCAGCGATGGTAGCTGTAAAGGAGTGAAGAAATTAATTTCTCATAGACGGCGCTACGGCTAAAAAGTTGTTTAAAACCAAAAACAAGATCTGCAACAAACACATAGACAAATTCCTAAGGCCTGCTGGTTCGTTCCGTGACTTAATTGGCAGAGCATTTAGCACGGATTGCCCGAGGGAGCTGGTTCGAATCCACCCGGATCGAATGAATTTTTCTTAGTGTTTCGATTTTTGATAAAATAATTACAACAAATGCAATTAGTTGAAAGTAATTTTGGCATTACAAAGCGTTAAACAAAAGTCTAATAGCAATCTTTATGCATTTTAATTTGGAATACAACACTTATTGTTTATTTGTGATTTGTCTCTTACGTCGGTCGTAATATACAACTAAGTCAGGTATTGAAAACGTATCAAGTAAGACATCACTTAGAGCACGATATGTATCACAACCTCTATATTAGGGACTCACAACGCTTATTAACGCTGAATCGACTTGAACCGGTCAGAATAAGCCTTATAATAAGCTTAGCTTGAAATAAGAGCGAAAGAAGTTATTCGCTTTTCACTTTCTTTTAACTACGCATGGTATTAAGAGTCTATATAACTTCAAATGGCTTTGGTTGGTTCCGCATAACAGTGAAAGTGATGAATAAAAATCACTTTGGTTAAAATATATAGTACAATTGAGGATATACCCTAATTACTATACGGTGTGAAAAAAAAACACACCAATGATTTTTTATTTTCGTTCTGACATAAAGCCGGTGTCCCTGCCGAATCCTAAAGCAAAACGAACCGTATTAGTATGGAACAATTTTAATTCGACATGGGGTAGTATCAACTCTTAAGCGACACGCCTGAGTATAACAGTTGCAGTACCACTCAAGGCTTTAAATCACAAACATCTGAGGGATACTGCCACTGCGCCTGACACGCAGAGACATAGTTGACAAGTCCCATGTGCTTGTAATTTGACCAACAACTTTACTACTCGAAACCGGAAGTCGGTAATGTGCTATCGGCCGCCAATATGAAACGCACAATATTACATGGAGATATAGCTTTTTCTAGCCGGCTTTATGCGATTGCCTGTGAATAAATGTGGTTACTCCCTACATATTCTGTAATCGTCATCAAACAAAGGCCCAGACAAAGGCCCAGAACTTAAATTTTGTACGTATATCAAAAGTCATTTGTATTCATAAAATAAGGAAAAACTGACAAAAATATTTAACTACTAACCTAACAACATCAAAAGTTTGAGGTATTACATCTATTTGCCAAGTTTTTTTGAAATCGGTTCACGGAAGTGGGTAAAGTGCAATAAACCGGATTGATCTCCCTAATTTGCCACCCTTAAAGGTTACTACTGAAGTACGCTTTTTCCAACAAAAACGATTATCCGAAATCGATTCGCAAATTTTAATGTTGTTGTTGTCGCGTAAGATACAGCAAAAAAAACAGTCGAATTGGGAACCTCCTCCTTTTTTTGGAGTCGGTTAAAAATCAAGATTATTTTTAACACATGTTTGAGTACTGAGTGAATAAAATTGTATTTATCAAAATTGTAACAATATTGTATAGACAATGAGAATTTAAATGAATACTCACGGACACAAAATTATATGAGAGTTTGCTTGTGATGTTGAAGAACATGGAGCACTTCTACACACTAATATAATAATAATGCATTTTGTGTGCTTGGCTTGATTTTCACCCCACCTTGTGTGTTTGCATGACACCTTATTTCACTTTCACCTATTAGATATTTCACTCTTTATATTATTATTTTAGAATAACGATTTTAATTTTGAAGAAATGGTTTTCTGTTTGAGTTTACGAAAAAAGGTTACGTAACAGGTAAGATTTAATTATAAACAACGGTATAACGAATAAGTTTATTAATATTAAGTTTAAATTCAATATTAAAGTTCTTAGTAAAAGGTTTTGAATTTTTCACTGTGGAGCCTAGCTCATCACTGCTGTTTTGATATATATATAAAGTGTAAGTATAGATTAATAATTTCTAGTGGCGGCGACGCATCATTCCTTTATGAGTCTGATACATTATAAAATCGCCTATTTTCCAAGATAGGCTTGCTAACAGATTGACTCCATGTTTGCAGTTAATGCGTGAAGGCATGCAGTCGATCTCGGCTGCATGAACTCTGTTTCAACTGCATGCAGTTAATGCGTGGAATCGTTATGAGCTTCATACAGTCGTGGTCTCGACTGCATGAAGTTGATTGCGACTACACGCATTACCTGCGAACAAGCAGTCAATCTATGACCAGCCTTATGGAGTATTAAAAATAATTGGTTCTGTGTAGCAGAAGTTCTCGTATATATCTGTCTTGTCTGTACATCATAAAACAGGAACCACCCGTAAGTAGGCAATAAATAAACCTTCCTTTACTTTCACCAATCAGTTCTTATTATTGAACTTTAATTTAATTTTACTATAATAATTTGTTGGCTAACAGCCGTGGTAGCCTAACGGTTTGACCTACCGCCTCTCAAAGAGAGGGTTGAGAGTTCGAATCCGTGTTTGCACCACTGAGTTTTCGGAATTTATTTGCGAAATTTAATTTCAAATTTGCCATGAGCGGGTTCAGTGCAAGAAAACATCGCGAGGAAACCTACACACAGCTGCAAAATAATTTAATTATATGTGTGAAGTTTGCAATCCGTATTGGGCCCACGTGGGAACTACAGTTCAACTTTTTTCATTGTCTTACTATTATTATTATTATATACAAGAAACTGGTCACTTCAGGCGATTTTGTTTGCATTAATGCAAAGTATTACAGTTTATGCATTGCCGCCATATTGAAATTAGTTCCCGTACATTTAAAAATTTTATTTCAAAATGTTTTATAGACCTTATTCAAAACGTTCAAATTCCTTCGTAACAATGACAATAGTGAATAGTGTTGTTCTTTTTTCACTGATGTAAAACGAATATGTCAACATTTTTTGTTTTTAAAATATACATTACACATTAATTGACAGAGTGTGGACTCGATAGAAGACGCCGGCTCGTTCCACCTGAATTCGACGGAGACGACAAACAATGACCCTGAAACTTCCAGCGAAATCGCTCTCGATGATAATAAACATCCTGTAAGTGTTTTTTTTTACACAATTACTTCGTGCTATAAGATTAAGGACCTTATAAAACTGAAATAAGTACTATATTTATTTCTCTAATAATTCAACCTGTTGTTGATATACCTGGAAAAGTTAAATTCATACTTGAGTACCTTAAAGTGCACTACGGGATTGAAGACTCAGCGTACAGTTGAAATCGTCGCAAACCAAAAAATACAGGAGGCGCAGGACCGGGTATACTTCGGTGTATTATAGAGAAGGCCTATACTATGAGTTTACATTGTCACAGTCACAGAGCTAACAAGAACAAGTCAGGTCTGCAATACATATGGGAAAGAATCTTTCGGCTGACAATAATAAGTAATCTTTGATTCGTTGCATTTTCGAAGTTGTGAGTTTGATAATTTGTGAACCTTACAGGTGAGCAACGACGAGTCGTGGACGGACGTGAATTTGAACGAGGAGGGAGAGAGAGGCCCTGCCACTATCACGGGCCGGAGGGACCACGAGGGAAACATCCATGAAGGTATGTCCACGCTGTGTCATTCCGAACTTCTTTTTAGTTGAAGTCGCCACGGCTGGACGCGTTTGTACAATTGTTCAGCGGAAAATATGTGTATAACTTTCTACGAGGAAATTTGATTAGAATTTCGACTTAGTGCATATTAATGTGTGCAGTAAAAAAAATATCGCGAAACTAAATTAAAAAAATGCATTTTCAGATATCGACAAACAGATCCACATGCGAGGGTCAGAGTCGCATCACCACATCCAACAGAGACAGAGGAGTCTGCAGGCTGCGCAGAGGCACTTACACCCGGTGAGTTATTTACATTTACTGATTTTCCTGTGTCCCACCAGTTATGTGCTCCCGACATGTTGAGACGATTCTGGTTCGATGTCCTTGGGAAACTAACTTAGTTTTTAAGTTAATTGAATGTCACGATGTTTAACAAGGGTTACAACCCTCTCACTGGCGCCCGAACAGGGACCCTAACAGCTAACTAGCCGTGAACAGGTTCACGGCAATGAAACGGGAAACTTCCGACTCACAAAATTTATTAAAGAACGAAAGTTAAAAGAAAGGGCTGAAACAATATAAAGCTAAATGTAAAAAAACAGGTACAACTGTAAAAAACACTCCCTACACTTTAATAAAGGCTCTTACCCCTAAGTGGGCCGAGTAACTGAATTACAGATATATGTACATGAAGGCTGTATACTGTTATAAATTGTTACACATGATTTAGCTTATTTCATGATTATAAACGTAGTAAAGAACCAAAATTAGCGATTATACGCGATGGAATTTGGAATAGCTCCGACTGTTGTGGCGGTCGAGCTGGGAGTGACCATGGTACGAAAACAACATGAGAAAGTGAAGGAAGGTGGAACAATTCAAATTTAAAATTTAAATACATGTAAAATAAAAAAAATGATACGATACAAGCGGACAGAGGCGATACAAAAAGGCGAGATGACGGTGTAAGGAGGTCACACCGTCACATAGCTATTTAAATACGCCATTATTTAACCCTTGAACTGTTTATACAGATTGTTTTTATGTCATACTAAAACATTGATTGTTGAATTACAGGATAACGAAACCCTCGCCGGCCTCAGCGCCATGAACGCATCGATGTCGGCCGACGGCGTATCTCGAGAGGCCTCCCTCACCCACAAGCTGGAGACGGCCCTTGGCCCCGTCTGTCCTTTGCTTCGGGAGATTATGCTCGACTTCGCTCCCTTCCTTTCCAAGACGCTGGTCGGGAGTCACGGACAGGAATTGTTAATGGAGGGTAAAGGTATATTTTGTTCTTGGCATGGTAGTTTATTTAAGAGCTTTGTCGTAGACATAAATGTTTAATTTCAATCAGGGTTCGTAGAGATCATTGTCATTGATAATTATCTTGTTCAATAAACTTTGGTAACAATCTTGATAATTATAAAATTAATTGGGACTACAAAAGCACTGCTAGCAATATCGTGGCCTACGTTTCGCATCAGAGACATATCTGTCAAATGTCAATCTCAAAAAAATATCACAAACACAAGACTTATCTTATGTTTATGCCATTTTTTCACATTTAGTTTCTCATTTTTACTTAGAATGTAAAATGTACTTTTTTGATAATATCAAACTCTGGTTTTAATTAAATGTCCCAGCGCCAACGTCGGAATGTTTATTGTGTGATATTTAAAAAATGTTATAGGCTGTGATGCTCAATGAAAGAGATTCAACGTCAACTTCAAACACTTGTCACCTCTTATTTGTTGTGATACAAACTGGACATGCATTTTCATTTCTAATCAGCTTGCAAATTAAATAGCTATTGGCATTGAGAAATTTTTCCTAACGGCCATTGCCAGAAGTAAACTGCATAAGGTTACTTAAACTTCAACTAAAATATTGATTAATGTTCTCTTTAGTTTACTTACTTACCTACCTTTTTTTGCCGCTGTGAGTATTCCTGTGTTTTCGGTTTTGAAGGGTCAGGCAGCTGGTGAAATTACAAGCAAATGGGACTGTCAACTTATGTCTCTAGGTGATGGGCGCAGCGGCAGTGCCCCTCAGATCTTTGCGATTTAAAACTTTAAGTGGCACTAAAACTATTATGGATAGGCGTATTGCTTGTCACCACGCACACGACTTGTTCGTCCCCTCACTAAGTATTATAAAAAAATCGTATACTTACAGACTACCATTACACCGTAGTCTAACAGCATTTAATATTTTCATTGTAATATTTTCGTTGCCAATGTACCTTACTTACTTTCCATAGTATACCGGAGCCCAAAACAATTGATCTAAACTTAACAAAACAAAATTGAATTCCAGGTCTTCAAACCTTCAAATCGAGTACATCCGTAGTAGAACTAGTAATGCTGCTGTGCTCCCAAGAGTGGCAGAATTCGCTACAAAAGCACGCCGGGTTGGCGTTCATAGAGCTCATCAACGAAGGGCGGCTGCTCTCTCATGCCATGAGGGATCACATCGTTCGCGTTGCTAATGAAGCGGAGTTCATTCTGAACAGGATGCGAGCTGATGACGTCTTGAAACATGCCGACTTTGAGGTAAGTTCGCTTTTCTAAATTTTATATTTATTAATTTTTGTTACAATGAATAGATAAATATATTATTGAATGAGTATACAATAAATGTATTACAATTTGTAGTGTACAAACAGATTAACACAAATATGTGATTTATTTATTATTACATTCAGCGAAACAAAAAGTCTGAATATGAAATAGTAACATTAATATTTAAATAAATAAGACCTAAAAAGTGGCAACTAAATTAATATCTTTTAACATCGACTTGGTACAGCTTAACCCGAAATTAAATAAAACACGTTTTTTGGCATTTTATGACAATGCAGAAACGGCTGGATATTTAAAAACTGTAACAGTTTGACATAGTTCAAATAAAATTGTAATAATAATAAGAATTTTCTACTTAAGTTAACGACATTTGCCAGAACGCAAAATCACAAACAGACGAATATTTTTATTTTTTGAAATTAGACCTAAAATAAATTTACCGGTAAAATAACCGGCCAGACTTTAAAAAAAACCACTGCAAATTTTGAATATTTTACTAGTGTTCCGTTAAACGTGCTGGTGTCTGTAGTAAGTTACAGCAACACAGCAGTATCATGGAGCTATAATATTTTCTCCACTTTACGTCAATCATACTCGTATATTTTGTATCTTGACAATAACAACTGATCGCAATTATCACAATTGTCATCCCGTGGAATGACGGATGAGAGATGAGATAAACTACTACCATAGTGCCATCGAAAACGAGCAGCTATTCAGGGAAGTTGGACCCAATGTTAGTGAGGCATTCTCTGGATGTAAGATGTGGATAAGGTTCTTCATGGCGAGATTGATTCACCTTACTTTGTTAAGTGAAAATAGGTACTTCACAAGGCGTAACCCCCGATTATCTAACAACACATTTCGCTCGGGAACGTGTAAGAATAACACTTCCTTTTATAACCCCTTAGGAATAATGTGTTGTCATTACAGCGAGATGTTTATGAAAAACTCCGGTTTGAATATTTTTGACTCAAGATCTGAATATTTAAAGGATTAGGAACTCACCTAACACTTACTCATTTTTATGTCGCTTTAATATTTAAGTAAATAAGTTAATGATTAGCAAATGATGAACAGTAGATCTTTCTTATTACTTTACAATGATGTGTCAACGTAAGTATGGTTAGTATGATTTTTTTTTGTTATCTGGTATTGACTTGTAATTATAATAATAAGCTGTAGATAGTCCAACGGTTCGATCTACCGCCTCTCAAGGAGAGAGCCGTGGGTTCGAATCCGGTCTTGCACATTTGGGTACTTCGGTAAAGGAGAACATCGCAAGGAAACCTGCGTATATATATCTAGGAAGCAACGGAACTGCCTGTGTGGCCGAACGATTACCAGACTGGTCTGCCACTCAGAGGTCCCGGGTTCGATTCCTGGATGGGGAGAAATTTATATGACCTGCACTTATGTCTCCCGTGAGTTTGGGTGTAAAAGGAAGCTCCTTGTGAAAGAGTTCGTCCAGGAAAGTGCTGCCACCTTACCTATTTCTGCCGCTAAGCAGTAATGTAAACATTATTGCGTTCCGGTTGCCAAGGGTAAGTAAGGGTGTTGGTGAACTCACGGGCACATGAGACTTGGCACTGAGACCTTTGCAATTTAGATCTCTGGGTGGCACTGCAACTGTTAGGGACAGGCGTGTCGCCTGCCACCAGGCAGTGCCAGTCCAGCTTAGACCGAGTGATGAGTGCAAGGAACGCCCGCAGTGCCTGTGCGCGACGACGAGCGCCGAGCGCGCCGAGGAGGAGCGCACGTGCGAGCGGCTCATCGCGGCGGCGCGCCGCAGGGACCAGGCCGCGGCCGCGCGCCTGCTCGACAAGCTGCGCCACGCCGCCAGCCACGGCTCGGGGTCAGTGCCTTTCCGGGGCCGGTGGCACTTCGGCTCCCGCCGACGCTTGTATGGTGCTTTTCTCGAACAATGCGCGGAAATATGGAGGGAAGATGTGTAATCAAAAAGTTAAAAATATCAATTAATCGGACAGAAGAAATGTTTTCTGAATGTTCGATCTCTGTATTAATAATTATGACAAACTAACGGAGTAATTTCACATAAAAAAGTAATTGAATGTCAATTTAATAGAAATTTAATTACAATGAATTGCGACTTCTCTAGCCAGGGTTGGTAGTTGTAAAGGTATCTAAGTGGGTCACGAAATACTTAAGATTTCTCATAGATGGCGCTACGGCTAAAAAGTTGTTGAAAAACCAAATACAAAGACACGACAAGAAACACATAGAAAAATTTGTGAAGTTCGCTGGTTCGTTCCGTAGTTTAGTTGGTATAGAGTCTGGCACGGTATGCTAGAAGACGTCGGTTCGAATCCGGCCGGATCGAAGGAATTTTTTCTGAGTGTTCGATCTTTGTATTATTAATAATAATATCAATTAATATTAAAAGCAATACTTGGCACTTCGACTGTGAACTGGCCACCGGTACTATCTCAATTTTGACAATTTTACAGGATGACGAAAAGAATTGTTTGCGTCATTTATATAGCATCTGGTTAGAAGTTAGTACAAGTTGAATGAAGTCTATTCTGGCGCCAAAATTAAATGTATCTAAGATGGAATTTCTTGCAAAGCTTCAGAATAAGAAATAGTATAAAATGGTATTAAAAAGTGAAATCTTTAGAAAATTGAGATAGTACCGTTTGCCAGTTCACAGTCGATTTGGCTAATATCACTTGTCGTTTTAAATTAGGCGGATTACAATCCATTACTGTATTTTCTTTATCCTTCTACTCAGTAGAACTCATTTTCGCAACAAAAAGCGAAGACACAGAAGAGAATACCAAACCGCTTTAGTTTATTTACCGCCATTTTCTTTTTTTTTTAATTTAGCGGTACAGGTAGGTTTCTTAATTCTCGCAATTACCAACACTGGACAGTTGGCTGTATAAAATTTTTCTTGCTTGTAGATAACTTTAAAAGTTTACGGCAATAAATTTTGATACTTACTTCGCAGACCTTGGCTAGGAAGGAGTCGCATGTCCCATAAATGGCAAACTATCCGTTGTTCACTTTTTTAAAGTAATGCAAATATTTCCGAGCATGTTTGAGAAAACACATTTATTTGACTACCACAAAAGACACTACACAAGAAAAAAGAAACAAAAAAAAATACATATTCATAAACATTTACACATAAAGACACAAATAAATAACATAAGAAAATCAAAAACTGAATGAAACCACAGATTATTTACATAAACATAAACTTAGACACTAAGCATAAAGATATTTTGTATGGTGCCAGCCGCGGCAACAAAAGGACCACTAACTCAGTATTTCTTCCCGTTCCCAGCACTGATTTTCATTTGAAACCGTTTTTAGTAAGTGAGAGATACGTACTTAAATATAACAATAAAATAATTAAATAAAGTATTTAGAAAATTATATAGCCAACGAATATAATACTTGTAAGAAATGAAAAAAGCACCAGTTCATGCTTTTTCAGTTGATGCTTTTTTGGTATTCGTTTTATTTTTTTGTGTACGAATCATATAAAAACCCTCACTTAAAATCTTTTATGATTTTCAGAATTTATTATCTAATATACAATACTAATTTTAATTGTTCGTGGAAGTGTGCCGTCAGGATTTCACATTGAGTATGTGCGCTCCTACTTTTTCACAAGTCGACCAGAGTTAAAATACAAAACAGCGAATGAACCAATCGTTTCGGGCAGCAGCAGCACGCAGTTCTGGAAGCTGGACTCGTGGGAGGACGACGCGCGGCGCCGGCGCAGGCTCGTGGCCGACCCGCGGGGGCACCGCCACGCCGCCGCGGCGCTGGCCCGCTCGCCCAGCAACCCGCCGCCGCACGACGCCATCCTGCAGGTGGGTCGGGGGCCCTCGGGGGCCCTCGGGGGCCGGGCCTGGACGGGCCTGGGCGAGAGGGGCCGCGACTAACCCGAGGCGTTGCAGGCGACCGAGGAGCTGCACGCGCGCATCGCGGCGGGCGGCGCGGGCCGCGGCGCGCAGCTGCCCACGCCAGCCGCCGCCGAGCTGCTGGACGACGCCGAGCTCTTGGCCGACGACCGGGAGATCGACGCCGACCTCACCGGTATGACCCCTTTCTGGCCGGACGGTTCATGTATTAGCATCCGCGTGCTGATCGTGACACGCTACGTTCTACGATCTCGACTTTTAAGTAAAGCCGCCATTTTGATAAACTGTCGAGTTAGCGCAAAAACTTGAATAAAACGACACACTAAAAGCCCCGAGCGATAAACTCCTAACGAAATATTTATAGCAAAATATTTCTGCGCATTTATAAAAATAAGTGCTATTGCAAAACTGTCAGGCGTTTTCCAACTTTATTTCGAAAGAAAACTCGGTAAGTGTTAACTAGGCTTTTATCTAGTAAGAGAAGGAAAAAGGAAAGGGAATGAAAAATCCTTTGGAACCGAAACAGGAACGTATTATTGGTAGGTTTTTACACAAAAACAAATAAGAACTAAACCAGAACAAAACGTCAAAAGGACTGCTAAATGTACAGACTAAAAAACTATAAACTGTATCAAAACAGTTTTTTTATTATTATTTTAGGTCCTGTAAACATAAGCACGAAGGCGAAGTTAGTAGCTCCAGGCCTCGTAGCGCCGGGTACCGTCTCGCTGACTTCGACTGAACTGTACTTTGAAGTGGACGAGGACGACCCAGAGTATAAGAAAATTGACCCAGAGGTAGGTGTTATTTTACTCATTGCTTGACTTTACTTATTACCATCCTAAAAGATTAAAACCTTGTCGACAAAATGGATAATTTCTTTTTAAACGTAAACAACTCATCGATAGGGAGCGCCTGTGACTAATTACCTCCACCACCAGACCTCTTACCACGCTGTCAGTTTTTAGTTTTCATTCGATATTTCAAAGCGATTTCACAGTCCACTGTCGATTGACATATCCAGAGAATAAATAAAAAAAATTGTCTCAACGTATTATATTATACACAGTAATCATACACAAAGTATGCGACAATAGCGGAGTCAGATAAAAAGCTCTGTATTGGAAATAAAATATTTTTTTAAGATAATTATTAATACAAAAATTGCTAACACTAAAAAAAAAATTCCGTCGATTCAGTTGTTTCAACTAAGTTACGGAACGAACCAGCAGACCTTCGGATTTTTTATCTATGCGCTTGTTAATATTTTTTATGATCAAAAATTATTTTAATCTCAATTAAAATAATGTTGATCAATTAATAATCTTTGTAACAATAGTGAAAAATGGGGTGGTTTGCATTAATATTAGACATCATTTATGTCTAATAACATAACATTGATGACTAATACCGTCTGAGTCAGCCGCGACCACGAGACCTGGGGGTTCTATTCCCGTTTTCCATCCGACATTCGTCCGAAAGAACTACTGTCAAATTACTCGACCAAATCAAAAAACAATGTCAAGTTTAAAGCCTCATTCGCATTAAAAGTAATTTGGTCAAATATCACTTATTTCACAGTAATTGTTTCCGATGGCGAACGGGAAAATCCACCTGTGAAGAGCCCAAAATGTTAGTTTCTTTGAAATAACAAATATGAGCGACTCTAGGCCGAAAAGAACATTAAATTTTTATGTGCATCAATCGTATAAACCTAAGAATTCTATAAACAGTTCTATAAGCTCAGCGATTAAATAGACTGTGAATTAAATAGTTACACTGATATTATGCAGTCCGCCATATCGAACAAAGACACACTCAATTCCGGTTTTAGGAAAACTACAAATATAAATATAAACTACAAATAGTAAATAACAAATAAAGTCTTTAAAATTTATTAAACTGTTCAGTTACGAAATACCTACATGAATGTACGTGCAGTACATTATTGGAGAGTATGGTGTACATTAATGTAGCTTCGACGACTGCGGCCATAAAATCATAATGTATACACGATTAATTTTGTTTTTAGAACCGAACGATTTACATCTAAATTTACTATGAATGTTTTGAGTATTTAACTGTGTTTTTTATTATAAGTAAAACGTTTTTATTCGCAAATAAAATAAAATTTACTGCTCTTGTACCATAAACAGGTTATCAAATATTTGTCTATTAATTTCCTTAAATATTTTCATAAAATATTTTACCGCTAATGAAATGGTACATAAATTATAGATTTTATAGCTTTTGGAATTAATAAAGCATACATACAAAATAAATTAAAAAGTTGTCGGTAACTATTTTATAACGTCCAGTGTTAGTTGACCTTTGCATATGTAGTAGCCTAGTGGGAGAACGGTTGCTTCTTAATTGAAATGTCGATGGTTTGAACCTGAAGAGGTGTACAGAGTTTTTTTTTTTAATGGGACAGTATGGGGAAATCCGAAAACATAGAGGATACAAGAAAACTGTCTTAGGTCTCAAGTCTTTTTTTGTAAAAGCAATTTTGGCATAGTCAGTTTTTTGGTCAGGCGTGGGTTGTCCATAAAAATGAATAATATTTAAAATTTTTTTTTTACTGCTAATCGAGTCAGTTTCTTGAAGGGATCATTTCATTGTATGGGACGAAAAAATCGGGATAGCAGCAGTTGGTCAAATTTCGTAAAATATTTTTTCATTCAAAATGAATAAAATTGACTGTTTTTTTTAAATGCTAATAGATTCAATTTATTATAACGATGAATTCATTGTATCTAAAGAAAAAATGAGACAGAAGAAGTTGGTGAAATCTAATAAAAAATTTCATACAAGACGAATAACATTTCGTTAACTTTGACCAAAAAAATTGTGATCACAAAGACTTGTAACTTCTATGGTTTCGGATTCACCCATACTGTCCCACTAAAAAAAAAAAACTATCTATTGGCATAGGAAAATAACTATCGTGATAAAACCTGCATGCCCCAAACCCTCTTAGGCTAAGGTGGCGACAGTCGATCAGTTACCATACTGGTCTGCCACGCAGAGGTCCTGGGTTCGATTTCCGGCCGGGAGAAATATTTGTATAGTCTACATTTATTTCTCTCGTGAGTTTGGGTGTACCTCAGGAACCGACTAAATTAAGCGGTAGGCCTATAATTATACTGCAAATGAACGTACACTTAGTGCTGCAAGGCCTTCGATGATAATCGAACCTCCTACATGGGAAGTAAATGTTCTTGCAACTGGGCTATATGTGCTCTCATAATGTTCATTTAAGGAGAGAGTATAGGTAATTGTCCGTAACGCTGGCCTAATGCGTGTTAACGCCCACGTTTTTCAAAGATTTTGAACTTTCAACGTGTACAATGAAATTGTGCTCATCCGTTACGGTTGGCAAGAGGCATTGCACGTTCATAAATATAATAGAAATTGAAAACATAGATACATCCAGCCGGTCCAGAGACTCGTACTGCTGCCGTTTCTACTGAGAAGCAACCTTTCCCGCTGGGTTACCACTGGCCTCCATGTTCTAGAGAGAAATATTTAAGTACTGTAACAAAATCACATAACAGGCAACAACTCATATTACTTCCGTCACGCACCGCTAGATGGCATTGGCGTCGAAATCGCTAATTCTGCATCGCGGTGTTAAGATTTTCCCTCGCGGAATGACTACTGGCGGCGATGCGAACATGAATGTAATCAAAGAATGGAATCCAACTTACGACGCAGCTAGCTCTGCTTCCTTATTTGGAACTCCGCTTTAGATCGTTACCGTTGAACCTACTGCACTGTGCTACGCTTCTAGCGCTGCGTCCTATTTGGAACTCCGCTTTAGAACGTAACACGTAGTTGTTGCACCCTGAGCCGCTTCCTAATTGGAACGTGTGTACGGGTCCTCGACTACGTGTCGATTAGAGGGAGTCCTTTCCCACTATACCACCGACGTTGTACATCTGTATATGTTGTGTCAATAAAAAGCACCATATTGAAAACCTGGTTTCCCTCTGTACCCAATAAGAACATATTACACTGGCGCACAACGACGGGCACGACAAAAGGTCTTTTGTAACAAGATCTGGCAGAGTCACATATATATACACAGAATCGAGGCGTGTACAGAGTAAACCTACCAATACCAACATGATGATCTGGTCCCTGTCGCTTCGCATCCTATAAGCAGGGCATATCAAGGCATTACCGCTAAGTTTGCACCACGCCGAGACGGACCGTACACGATTCTTAAACAACACGGCCCAGCATCCTATCAAGTGGCTGCGCCTTCTGCACCTGACATCCCAGTGGGCGTATATCACGCATCAGCGTTAACTTCCTTTCATGCATACGAAGGAGAAGATGTAACAACCGTGCCGGAACCCATTCAACCCCTTAGGAAAAGAGGACGTCTGAGGAAGCAAGCCACTGCAAACTCCACACAACAACCCAAAGGACACAGATGCAAGTAAAAACTTATTTCTTCAGTCCCTCTCGTCGAGACGACTTCGGGGCCTGAGGGGGAGAAGATGTAACAAAATCACATAACAGGCAACAACTCATATTACTTCCGTCACGCACCGCTAGATGGCATTGGCGTCGAAATCGCTAATTCTGCATCGCGGTGTTAAGATTTTCCCTCGCGGAATGACTACTGGCGGCGATGCGAACATGAATGTAATCAAAGAATGGAATCCAACTTACGACGCATCTAGCTCTGCTTCCTTATTTGGAACTCCGCTTTAGATCGTTACCGTTGAACCTACTGCACTGTGCTACGCTTCTAGCGCTGCGTCCTATTTGGAACTCCGCTTTAGAACGTAACACGTAGTTGTTGCACCCTGAGCCGCTTCCTAATTGGAACGAGTGTACGGGTCCTCGACTACGTGCCTATTAGGGGTAGTTCTTCCCCATTGCACCCCATAAGAACATACTACAGTACCTATTATAGAAAGAAATAATTTTATCTTTTAATCGATTTTGTATTTATTACATATTTCTTTAACGAAGTACTGTATATAGAATTGCACGCTCAAGTTTACAACAATCTAGTTTTAGCACAATTGCTATAAATATGTCAAAGTTCATTCTTTACTGGTTATAGTAGAAAACAAATATTGTAAATTCCGAGACAAAAGCTTTGACAAAACGCGTTTCAAATAAGGTGTGACACGCGATCTTTGTTCGGTAATTTATTAATCTCCAGCAAAGAGTTGTAAAACGGAAATTATATCCATATTCTGTCTAGACAGTAAAACATCTAACAACCATGTTATTCCTGTAATATCAACCTTAACTTACCGACTTAAAGTTGAAAATAACTCTTTAACTTCCCGTCACTAGTGATGTTCTACGCCGATGCGATTTAAGATATCGATGGTAGGTATGGCGTGTAATATAGGCGGGTAACCGAATATAAGGCACTTAGATGCACGAACAATGCAGCCTGCGGCGCTACGACCCACGTGGCGCCATGCTAGTGTTGTGAATGTATCGACAGTTTTGGTATCGATGATATGACCTATGAATTGGGCAGTGCTTTACAATATTACATGCAGTTCACGTCTTAAAAACTTTTGTAGAATATGTGAAACAAGCTGAGTCAATTTAAACAGTGCTCATATCACAAGTTCCTATTTCAAAACCATATTTTCGTTCCGTTCAGTGTACGTTTAAATTATAAGTAATTGTTAAAAAATTATTTGCCATTATCCGTTTTACTTGTAAAGGTACAATTTGCAACAAGTACTTAACATCGCAGTTCGTACTGTCCTGTAAAACACGGATGCAATTATAATTTCATTTCAGTTTTGTAGCA